ATTAGGTGCCAGGTTTCTCTGATTTTGATCAGGCAGGCATGGTATATCTACTTTGGAGGGTTTTTGTTTGTTTTTTTCTTTTTTTTGAGAGACAGGGTCTCTCTGTGTAGGCCTGGCTGGTCTCAAACTCTCAATCCTCCTGTTTCAGCCTCCTGAGTGTTGGGGTTATAGAAGTGCACCACCACATCCTGGTCCCTTTTTGCTACCACCTACTTTCACCCCTTAATTCTTCCAGAAGTGTTAATGTATTTATCCCTGCCTGAAAAGGCAGATGGTCAAACAGAGGCTCCTTGCCGCAGGGCCACCTTCCAGGCCTTCACAGCTGCTACTGCTGGCCTCTGCCTTGTTTGTAGATCAGTCACTCTTTTCTGGTAGTGTTGCAGGCTGGCCTGTTTTTTCTTGGGAATTTGTTCCCTTCAGTTTATATTCAGAAATGACAGGAGTGATGACTATATCTGCCTTGTGTAGTCTTCTGAAAACTGGAGAAGGGAGTGGCTGAAGAGGTAAAGAGAAGTCTCTTTTAAGATTCAACCTTTTTAGTGGTCCCTTGGGTCAGGGTTCTGTTCATCCCTGGGGCTCATGTTGGGGCTCAGGATGCCAGGGGCTTAGGGCAGGGACCTTACAGTGCTTCCCTCCGCCCTACCCCCCTGCAGCCCAAGTGCCTTGGGTGGAGGCTTCAGAAGGCCTGATCCCTTTGGGGCTTCCCAGTTAGGAAAGCAGAGCTTCCAAGAAGTCTGGGTCCTTCAAAAGGTAAGAGCAAGAGGTCCCAGGGGTGATCATTGTTGCCGGCAACAGGTGCATTCTCAGTGCCAGCTCCAAGGAGTTAATTGATGTGTTTTCTTCTTTCTGGAAACTGGTAATTAACCAGTGTGTAAGTGTATATGACTACAGGTGCTTCCTTTAACCCCAGTGAATAATCTCGCTCCCTTCTCTTGCCTTTCAGCTGACAGTTCGGACAACTCTGATTTGGAAGATGACATCATCTTATCTCTGAATGAATGAGGCACCATTCCACTTGGAAGATTCTTGGCAGGCAAGAAACAGTGGTGAATTCAGAACATCTTCCCTTCCTTTTCTCCCAGGGCTGTCTGTTGAGGAACTGCATGCCCTGCATTCAGAGAACTATGGTTTAGAGTCTCACCAGAATCCGAGGGTCCTTCAAAAAACAATAACAACCACAAAAGACAACAGGGGTCAGGCCCTGTCCTGCTTCCCCCTTTCTCCTAGGATGGACACATCTTTCCTCAAGGGAAAAAAAACAAGCAAACATGTCTCTGGGGTTATTTCACAATATATTTTCTTTGTATAATGTTCTTTACTTAAAGAACAAGAAATAGTTTTTTATAAAACTTAAAAAAAAAAAAAAACGCATTTATAGCTGAGGGTGTGAACTTACATCCACCAGCCTCCTGTCCCCGCACCTCATTTTCTTTGGAAGAAAATGATGTCTAAAGAACAATATAGAGGCATTTTTACATACATATTTAAATGAAAAGGAAAATCGTGTTTCTTAAATTGATAAGGATTAAGAATATTTTATTATAAATATAATATATGATTTTTTAACCTGTTTTGTTGCCTCATATGCTGTCAGGTTAATTTGTTTTCCTTTGTGCCAGAGGGGGAGGAAGGCACTGCTTGTTTGCTGAGTAAATGCCTAAATTCATCCACCTTCATGGTTTGGGGGCAGCATGGTCATTGTGGGTATTGGTTTTGTGGAGTTGAGAGAACTTAGGATATAAGTTCACTCCCTCTATTTTTTTTTTTTTTTGATTCAGTTTTTCAAAATCTTTTTTTTCTCCCCTTTCTCCCCAATGTGGAAATTACAAATCAAAGGCCTTTTTCTTTAATGTAAAGTGTATTTATTTAAAAAAAATACAAAATAAACTACAAGTCTCTTTGTTTATGGCCTTTCCCTAATCTCATTTACCAAAGTGGGGTGTCCCTTTCCTTGCAGCCCTAACTAGGCTATATAGAAGACCACTTCTAAAGGAGGAAGAGCAGGGTGGTAGTGAGAAGCTGTTCCTCCCATAGGAAGCTCCAGGGAGGACAGTGGCTTGGTCAGTATGAGCCTGGCCTGCAGCTCTTTCGAGGACCTGCTTTTTGTAAGAGTAACAGGGTGAGAGGAACTTGGGACCATACCCACTGTGCACGGATCTTTCCATTTGGTTTGGGATCAAGAAGGCCAAAAAGACCCATGTTTTGGAAAGTTTGATGGAGTGAGCTGGCAAAGCTAAGGAGAGCATCCAGGTCTCCCTGTAGCTGGGGTTGTAAGTGTGTTACTGCTCCTGAAAGGGATTGTCATGGGACATGAGCAGTTCTTTAGTCTTGGTGGTTGAGAGGCAGTTGGGACTGAGGCTTAACTTATGGGTACTTCAGGGGTCTCTAAAACTGGCCTAAGTATAACCACCTACGTTTTACTCACCCCCACCCTCTTTTTTCCCCCCCACAATAAATAGAAGACACTGATCCTCTTTCTTTGATTTTGCCCAAATGACAGCTTCTTGGTTTCTTTTAAATAGGTTTCACACAGCTAAAGAGGCTTTTCTCCCTTTACTGAGAGAAGGGACACATTTGGTTATGAAGTAAACAAGCAACACAGGATGGCTAAAATTCTCCAGTGACAGGTGATGCCTACTGGGCTCCGGGACAATACTTTGTCATTGTCATATGCTGGTGTGGGCCTGTGCCACACAGGTACTTGCTGGTTCTCCAGAGAGCAGAGGCCTCAGCTCTTGATTTGCTCCATGCCTCAGCTTTAAGTGGGTAGCTGACACAGCCAGTGGGATGGGCTGACTGTTGGTTCTGAAGAGAGAGAACAGCTTACAAGTCCAGGAGCAGTTAGTGCACCAAGTTCTGTCGATAATGAAGCTGAGCCAGTCTCCCTGGACTCTGCAGTAGCTCCTGGGAGTACCCACACGTCTCTGAGGTGGAGAATGGTATCTCTAGTGGGAAAGTAGTATTCTGGTTAACTTGACAGCACACCCTCAGGAACGAGTCCTAAGAGACTCAAGAAATATCCTCTTTGTACCACCAGGAAGAGTAGGGGTTTGGTCTTCAAGCGTCTTGTAGCTGACCCCAGGTGGTGGCACTGGGCCCCTGAAACTAGGCTTCTGACTAAGGGCAATGTTGTGAAGCAACCAGGGTCTTGGCCACTGACCTACCTCCAGCGCAGGCAATAGAACACAGGCCTGTTGTCTTAAGAGCAGAGGGAAGGAAGGGGTTGAGGTCAGAGGAAGGGAAGGAAGGAGGGTCACACAGTAGGATGTAGCTCTTCACCAAAGTGCAGCAGTTATTGGTGGAGCCAGAGAGCACCCTTCCCTAAAGGTGTGGATGAACACAGGCTGGGGCATCTCCTTGGTTCTGCCTGGGAGAGTGGGAAGGTGTATGCTGGGTTCAGAGCTCTGAGGAAAGATAGTAGCCCAGATGTGCCATGATAGCTGTCCTGTTACTCAAGACATTTGTTGCAGATTTGCAGGAAAAACTGCAATGTGTTTTCAAAACGAGGTCCACTCTTGCTTCTGGTGGTGCTAACTACCTGGGAATGTTGCAGGTATGACTTGGGGTGCCACCCTGATCTGTGTGCTCAGATACCTGGGGGCTATGTCCACTACTCAAGTAGAAGCAGACAAATAAATACATTTAACGCTGTGTTAATATTTTGTTACAAATGTGCAGTTCTCTCACAAGTACCAGCCAAAGCCCAGCAAGCAGCACTTCCCCCTGTTCACTCCCAATCTCTAGTGTCTCAAAGCACCTTTGTACTGGTGCACATGCAGCCTCCTCCTGAACTCCTAGAGCCTAGTCACTGGGTATGCCTTGCGGGGGCGCAGAACCTATGGTTCCCAGGCCTTTGGAGGCACATCTGTTACCAGGGCTTCCACTCTCCTTAGCCCTGACAATGATCCACGCTGCCACACAAACTATGGAGAATGACATGCAGCTCTGTTCTGTGGTGAAGTTGTGGCCTGCTCTGATTTTCCTACCTGGCTTCTGATACTCTTGGGCTTATTTGCCAGCACAGGCCTCATTACCTAAGGAGATAAATGAATGCAGTCTAAAATTCCTCAGGCCACATTCCCCTGCCAGTAAGGATGCAGTGCAGCCTCATCCTTTTCCTTTCCACTTGGTTCAAGTGACTTTGGGTTTTTAGCACTGCCCAACATCTCAGTGACTGTGACTTCGTTTTCCCAGTAGTAACCAGTTTTCTTCCCTGTACGGGAGCAAGAAACCATCATGTCACTTAACAAGGGCATCTTCCTCCCCACCACACTGCCATGCAGCACTAGAAGTAATTCAGTCTGGGGCTCAATGTCTTCCTCAAAGCTCTAGGCATGACTGTGACACAGGGCCATTCTATTGACACACCATCCTTAAATCCCCAAAGGAAGAGCAAGAAATCAAACACCTGGGTAAAGTTCAAAATAAACTAAGGCAGGATGCCTCTAACTTTCCATTCCAGCCTGTGGCTTCCAGGATCCTTGGGAATCAGAGGCAGCTCTGTCTCTGACAGCGGAGGCCCCTGGGCTACTTAAGGCTAAAAGAGAGGCCGAACCAGAGGGAGCCTGGACAGGTCATGGGCATCCAGACCTGTTGGCATCAATACTGCACTGCTCCTTCCTGACGAGCAGGACTTACTTGCTGTCAAACAGACTTTTTTCATGGGGCACTGTCCAATAGCTACAACTCAAACTGATGGATACAGGGAGGACAAAAACTACCAGCAGTTGTTAGCACAGACCTTTGGCTCAGCTCCTTCCTCTGCATGGGCTCTGTTAAGGCTGGTGCAGCAGGGCCCGGGGCCCCACAAGCCTGCTGGCCTTCAGCTAAGACTGAAAGTGAGTGTGAGAATGGTCCTGACTCAGCAACAAGAGCTGAGAGCCACTAGCACAGCAGGTTTTGGACACAGTGGTGCTGGAAACATGATGTAGGACATACATACACTGGGAAGTCTTCCATTCTTTAAGGAAAAACTTGATCAAACCAGGACTCTGATCGGATTAAAAATCTGTCCTCTGACAAAGGCTTTACTGACAACTCTTCATACAGTTAGTCAAAAAAAAAAAAATACAGAATACAGCAGACAGTATCTTGTACACTAGAAGCCAATGTAACAGGAGTTCCTTCTCATGGTTGTTAAAAAAAAAAAAAAATCCCCCAAATCTAAGAACTTAGTTTTAGTGATGGACAGGATTCCCACCATATGAACCAAAATTAACTCAGCGAATTCAAACAAAGGGAGTAGAGAAGAGATCAGATTTAAAATAACTGCTTTTGTGACACAAACAGCTGGAAAAGACAGGTTTGGGCTAGGCAGTGTCTCTTACTATAACTATCACCATGTGTTCTTCTTCTAGCTTGCCCAATGTCCTCAGTGCTGACTGGAGGTACTGCTGTGAAAAGTCGCAGGGTGGGAAGGCGTAGAGCATGCCCGTGCTGTCTCTGCCCTTGGACCCCCCCACCGGCAGGCTGATGACCCCTGCGGCCTGCTTCTGTTTCAAGTAGGAGACCAGGTTCCTGAGAAGCCGCCTCTGTAGGCCTGGCTCCACCGTGGGCATCCCTTCAGTGCCAGGCCCGCTGGGGGTTGCCTGAGTGGCTAGGAGCACTGCATAGCCATTGGGGCTCCCCTGCTTGATGCGTCGTGTGACCTCATCGAGCTTGGGCTGGTCCAGTCGAAGGCGCTGGGCAATCTTCAGCTGAGTCAGCTTGCTCCCGGAAGTATGGTCTTTGAGGAGACCGCTGATAACTCCCTGGTCCCCCTCTAGGATGTGCATAGATGTTGGGAAGCAGCTGTTTTTCAATACGAGAAGCCCATTCCACCCCAGCTGCAGCGTCTGAGCATACTCCGAAAGAGTCTTTAGCTTTTTGGTCTCATGTTTTGGCTCCTCGGGAGGCTTGGGCTCGGCCTCAGTGGCCCGGTGGTTGCGCTCGCTCTCTCTCTTCTTCCCGTGGGAAGAGTCTGGAGCCTCATGGTGGTGGTGGTGGTGGCCCCGCTCCTCGGCCCCATGTCTGCTGTTGCTGAGGGAGTTGCTGCCCGACTCCTTGGTCCCTTCACTGGAATGGTTCTCCTTGCGGCTGCGCTCAGGGGTGCGATCTGAGCCTCGATCGGACAGCTGCCCCCCACCCTTGGTCCTGCTCCGTTCCTCATAAGGGGAGTGGCTTGTCCTCCCACGGTCGCTGGAAAGGCTTCGTCGCTTGCGCCTCTCTTCCCAGGGCTTGGGCATGCCTCGCTCCCCGTCTGCTCCCCAGCGCTCGCCACTGCGGCTGCGCACTGAGCGGCTATAGCCCTCGAGGCTGTTTCTGCGGTCAGAACTTTTACTGAGGCCGGTCCAGTCTGCTTCCAAAAAGGTCCGGTCTCTGTCTGAGTACAGAAGGTGTGGGGGGGTCCTGTCCCGCACCCTCAGGTCGGCATCCAGGTTTCGGTGGCGGGTGTAGCCGTCCGCGAGCAGCTCATAATGCACAGGGAGGGGCGAGGGCTGGTACTGCTGGGGGTAGCGAGTCTCCTCGGCTTTGGCAAAATCCACCCGGAGCCTGCGGTCTGGACCACCCAAAGGGAAGCCCCTCATTTTAGCACAGGCGGCCTGGGCGGCGTCCAGGCTCTCGTACTGGATGTAGGCAAAGCTGTCTCCTTTGACGTGATCAATGGTCCGAATGCTCCCAAAGCGATCAAATTCCCGGGCCAGAGCCGCCAGCGAGGTGTTGGGTCCCAGGCCGCCCACCCAGAGGCGGGTGGTGGGGTTGGCCTTGCCATAGCCTATCTTAATGGGGTTTCTGCCAATCACCCGGCCCGACATAGCCACCTTAGCCCTGTGGGCCATGTCCAAGTTCTGGAACTTGAGGAAGGCATAGGCGCCACCTTGGCCGCGGGCAGGCCTCTTGATGACCACCTCCTCAATGATGCCATACTTCTCGAAGGCCCGTCGAAGCTCCACCTCGGATACGCTGTGGTCCAGGTTCCCGATGAAGAGGTTTCGAGTGGCCCGCTGGTCGTCCTCGGGCATCAGGTCCTCCTCGCACACGGCGGGGTAGCCGTAGGGGCGCCCGCGGTCGTCGTACAGCCCGTAGTAGTCCAGGGCCCGCTCCCGGGACAGCCCCACAGCAGCGGCGGCGGCGGCATCCAGCGCGAAGGCTGCGGCGGCGTGGCGGGCGCGGGGCTCTCGCAGGGGCGGGGCGGCTACCGGGGACAGCGAGCGCTGCTTGTACTGGTAGCCTCCATGCAGCGGCAGGTAACCCAGGGGGTCAGCGGGTGCGGGCGGCCCCGGGGGCGGCGTGGAGGCGGCGGCGCTGCTGCTGCTGCTCCGCCGGCTGCTCCCGCCGCCTCCGCCGCCGCCGCCGCCGCGCAAGTACACGGGCTCTACCTTGAGCGGGCGGTCGTACAGCAGCAGCTGGCGGGCCAGGGCGTGCTGGCGGGCCTCGCGCGCGTCCTGCGGGTGCCGGAAGTTCACGTAGGCCACGCGCCCGAGCTCCGGCGTGTGCGACAGGCGCAGGCTGATTTCGCCGAAGCGCTTGAACTGGTGGAAGAGCCGGTCCTCGAGGTGCTCCGCGGGCAGCGCGGGGCTCAGGCTGCTGATGAGCAGCGTCTTGTACTCCGGCGCGGCCGTGGAACCGGGACCCGCAGGTTCGGCCCCGGGCGGCGGCGGGGGCGGCGGCAGTGGAGATGCGCGGGGCGACGCGCCGGAGGCGCCCGGGTCCCCCGAGGCCTTGCCGGCCCGTCCCCCGCCGCCGGCGCCGGAGCCCGAGGAGCGCCCGCTGCTCACACGGTGATTCGCGTCCCCGGCGCCACGGCCATCGCGATGCCCGCCCCCGCCGCCCCCACTACCGCGGGGCTTGTCACGGGCCCGCGCTGGAACCGGGTGCTTGGTGCCGCCGGAGGCCTTGTGCGCCGCCCGCCGCCCGCCCGCCTCCGCCTCCCGTTCGCGCTCCCGCGGCCGCTTTGCGGACGATGACGAGCCACGCCCGCTCGGGCTCGAGTCTCGCTCGCTTTGCCGCTTCATGGCGCCGGCGCGGCGGGCGGGCGGCTTGCGGGCCCTTCACAGCGGCAGCAGCAGCGGCAGTCCAAGAGGCAGCGCCCCCGGCGCCGCCATCTTGGACAAAAGGACTCGGCGCGGCGGCGTCGGCGGGGCGGGGCGGGAGCGGCGCCGAGGGGCTGGGCGTTGCGTTATCAGGCTGCGCCGACCTACCACGTGACTGTAGTGGGCGGGGCGAGAACTGCGCCCGGTGCGTCTCATCAGGCTGCGCCGTCTCGTGCCACGTGACGCTGTGGTGAGCGGATGAAACCGAAGCGCTGGCGCTGCTGCGTGACTGGCGTGGCCAAGGATGGGGCTGACTTGGGACCGGAGCCTTGGGCAGCGGCTGGTGGGCTGGCTCACTCTGTCCCGGGCCCAGAATCTGGGTCTCAGCTCTGTGTTCCCGGGCCACTTTCTGCCAGTTCTGGGACCCGTGCTGACTGGAGCGTCCGTGGGTGTCCAGAGTCCCAAGCCAGACCCCGTCTGACCTCTTTACGTGTAGTATTCCTCTTCTCCCCGCCCCCCACTAGGTTGAGCGATCCCCATTCTCCTTCGTGGCATCTTCTGACTGGGTCCAGAGTTGACATCTCCACTTCTGACGCACAGATCCCAAAGATCCACATCTTGGGCGTCCCCTGCATTCAGGTTCACCAATAGCTGTCCAGGAAATGCCATGAAAACTATGGCTATGGATGCAGGTGAGACGTGGCAAGGTCCAGGCACAGAAACTAGAAACAATGCACCTGCAGCTTACAGAGATAGGCACCGGGTCCAGCCTTCTGCTGTGGGCATGTAGGCAGACGGCAGACTGGAATGATTGACTCGGCGCCAATGGCAAAGAGGCCAAATTAGTGCCAGAAGTTACCATTGCTTTCCATACTGAGTTTTTATTCTCCAGAGATAAGGGTTGCTTGAGCCAGTGGAGCACCTAGCTCAACATCAGGCACAGAACTTGCACCCAGATCTCCCCTCTTCCCACAATCAGAACGTTCACAGGTGCAAGAGGAATGGTCTTGGATAGGCTCCATGGTAGGCTACAAGAATGCCCTTACAGGCGAACTGGATTCAGTAACCACAGGAATGAAGTGATCTGAGGTAAAACCAACTCCTTGGAAAGCACAACTTCTTAGTCCCTCCTTTCAGGTGATCTCTGGGCTGGAGGGGCAGGCGTCTCCATTGAGCAGCAACTCACACTGACAACTAAGTACTAACAGGAGAGTAGCTAGAATCCAGACTGCAAACAAGCTTTCAGGACCTTCACTGGTATCTAGAGGAAATAGGCAAAAGGCAGCCCACCCACTGCCTCTTTGTATCAGCTGACTCCGGCCCAGTAGGCATCAGAGGCTTGGCACTGAGTTAGACCACGAAACTGATGAGCAAGCCAGGCAGCGTATCTTTACACGTAAGTAAGTTATTGTGGGAAGGCACAAGCCATGTACTCTCAGTGCCCAGAAATAAGACCCTCTCCTGAACTTCAGACTCAACCTATGCCCAGATGCTGTGCAACCTCAGGTCCCTCCAGGATTAAGGGGTGGGTTCAAGCTCAATCCTGCCCTAAGGCTTAGGTGTCTGACAGCCTCCAACCCTGCAGAATCCACATACATCAGCTGGCCTCAGCCCCATGTACTGTTCTGGTATTGTTAGCACTGGTGGGTGAGAGGCAAATGGAATGATATCCCCCAAACTCCTTGCAAACCAGAAAGCATAAAGCTGACAGGATCACTGTAGGGTAAAATCCTATGTTAGCATTCACTTTAACTCGCCAAGGACAGCAGGATTTTTTTTCCCCCTTTAATAAAAAAATCCCAGACACACTTTGAAGTCCTAGAGTAAACCAGCAACAGACGGAAGTGAATCCCCCCATGGGGACACTGTAGAGTCAGTATCATCAGGAAAGCTCCAGGCTTCACATCTGATATTGTCAGGAGCCCTTAAAAAATAAATTACAAAAAGGCTATTTTGGGAAGAGACAGCTGAACTGTTTTTTCCCCCCTCAGGAGCAGCAGGAATTGGGTAGACTACAAATCCGTCCGAGCACTGGCTGCCTTGGGGGCATATTTAGGCATCAGTTCATTTATCTTCCGGATGTAGTCAGACTTTTCTGCACAGCCTTTGCACATCTCTCCCCAGTCATCCAGGATCTTCTTCAGCTCTTTCACTCGGAGTTTCTTCAGGTCCACTGTGCTCAGATCGATCTGCTTATCTACATGAAAAGCAGGGAGAATAAGTGGCTGGGTGGAAGTAGCCATGGCCTCCAACAGTACTGGAAAAAGTCACCCCCTGCATGGCCAAATCTTAAAACAAGCAGCTCTACCGACTATAGAGGAGAGACACATGCAGAAATATGTCAGTACTACATTGCCTCACAAAGAAACAATTGGCCCCTTCACTAGGGGGCAGCCTCAGGCTGTTAGTGTCGGCCCTCAGGACATGCAGTGTAGAGAAACCACATGGTCCTCAGAGGGGGAACACAGCTTCATCCCCCAAGTGCCTCTTGCAGAGTCACCACAGAATGATAGTCCCAGATTGGTGACAAAGCAGCTAGATCCTCTAGTCTCTGTCAAGACCGGAGTCAGGGGCTTACTCTCTGTGCCCCCTTGTGAGCAGAGTGGGCTAGTTGTGACCTGGGCTAGTTGGAGCAGACCAGGATCACTCTCAGAAGACCAGGCATCCTTGATACAAAAGGACAAACACAGGCCCTTGGACATTCCAGTCATAATAAAAACACTGGCAGTATTTAAATTTCACAAACAGTTCTGGCTCTTTCTGAGCATTGGGACTATGTGCAACCAGAGATGGGTTCTGCCAGAGATGCTGTGGCTTCTGTCACTTTGGACCTTCAGAGGTGTAGCCACCATAAGCCAGTTAAACCCCAGTCTGAACAATCCCTTCTCTGCTCAAAAACTTCTCATGCTCCCAACTTCACTCAGACTAAAGTCAAAGTCCCCAAAACCTATACAAGGCCCTCTGTGGCCTGCTCATCAACTTGTCAACTGGCTGGCTTTATACTGCCTGTCCCTACTCTGCCTAGAATGTGCTTCCATTAGCTTGCTGACATGCAGCATTCTTAATGGGGCCTGTTCTGACCTCCACAAGTCAATGCCAGACCCCCAGCCCACGCCCTCCACTGGGTGCGATTTGCTGTGCTCTATATCCACTCACAATGGCTCTAGAGTATCACCTTCCTCTCCCAGCTAGCAGGTGAGATCAGAAGGTGCACAGCTTGTTACAAGAGCGCCTGGTTACACTCACCGTACTTTAGTTCGCAGATCTGGCTGTCTTTCTTCTTTAGCTTCTCACAGATCTTCTCCACAGGGATGTGGGCAGCCAGGGGCTTTGACACCTCGTTGATAATCTTGGTGGCTGCATCATCTGTGGCCCCAATGTAATAGCACTGCAGCAAGAAAGGACAATGGCCTTCAGGAAAGGGCACTTAAGAGCCAACTCCTTCAAAACATCTTTCTGCCAAGGTCTCATTTTTTGGTGCCCTAAATCGACTGGCAGTCAGATTCAGTCAGTTAAACCCTGGGCCCTTAAAATATGCTCAGTCCCAGGGCTGACAGTCACCCAGTGGGTTGAGAAAACACCATGTTCAAACCTTTAATAAAGAAACAAGAAACTGCCAGGAAAACTAAGGCTAGAAAGCCATTGCTTCACCAGGATTCTTGCCCTGACCTAACCAGTGGACACCTTGTTAACTATTTCTTTCCTCACAAAGACTGTCTTCTCTGCCTGGGATGCTCTCCTCAGAGTTACCTTTTGACTACGTTGTCTAATCAGCACCCATCCCACCCACTGAGCCATCTCAGTCTATCTTCTTCACAGCACCCATTCGTTGCATTGTTAGCCTGCCATTTTTCTCCTCTGGTATTCCCAGTGCTCAGCTTGCAGTAGTGCTTAACAACTACTAACTGGATAAAACTGTCACAATTGGAGAACACATGATGCTTCAGTCCTTCAGAGAGGATTTGAAACCACTTCAGTCTCACATTAGTTTACAGAAAGAATGCTGGCCCATCATGAAGAAGAGAGCCAAGGCCAGCTGAGGTCAGAAGCTACTCACCAAGCGATTCTCTTTGCCTCTTGCTTCACGGCAGAATGTTATCAGTTCTTTTTCAATAATGGCTGGTGAGAATGTGACATCTCGGTCTTTGAGATCCTGGTAAAATCTTCCCAGATAAGAAATACAAACTGGAAAAAGAGAAAAGAAAGATGCTCAGCAATTAACCAGGTGGCCCCCCACTTCACCAGGAACTCTGTCAGCAAGTTTAACAGGAGACATGGAGGTTTATCCATCACTGGTTTTTCTCAGGTGCCCACACGTGGACACAGCTCGGCTCCAAGACAGTGGGGGTCCCCTGGCACACCCAGGGCATGCAGGGTACTGCGTATCACTCCAATGACCCACCAGCGACTCCTCCCTGCTCCTTTCATCAAGTTTAAGCCGAAAGGGAACACGTGTCCTTGAGAAGGGACTTACTGTGACCTCACAAATGGACAGAATGGAGAGTGAAGAGACACTATCAAAATGCTTATGTCCAAACACAACCCCGAACCCCGAAGAGCAGCTTCACGACCCTAACAGACCCGTGCGAAACGCATGGCCGGCCCTGCAGACCCCCGATCCGGGACAGGACTGCTCCCAGGAACCTCTGGACAGTGACGAGAAAGGGCAGAATCTCCGGCGTGACGTGGACTTCAGGCCAAGTTTCCAGTACCATACAGTTACCACTTTTTCTCATCGCACCAGTGTTTACTAGGCCCTTCTCCTGGCGGACCCCACTGGGCCCGGCAGCCGCCACCCGCCCCAGCCCGGCCGCTCGCTGGTTTTGTGGGTTTCAGCGCCTCCGCCAGGACGGCCACGGAGCGCGGGCCCATGACCTCCGCACCTTCGCAGTCGCCCGGCCGCAGCGTCCGGCCGCCCGGGAGCACGCTCAGGGCCAGCGCTACCGCCAGCCCGTGCGTGGCCCACATCCTCCTCCTCCTCCGCCGCCGCCGCCGCCGAAGACCGACTGAACCGCACCCGCCGCGCTGCACCGCCTCCGGGTTCTGGCCGCACGCCGGGGCTTCCCATTGGTGGGTGGCCACTGCACCCTCCCACATGCTGCATCCTCACTGGTCCACCTACGTCTGAGCCCAGACCGACGGCTCCACGCTGCCCTTCCCCATTGGCTAGCGGTGTCTGACCCTAGACAGTTGTCGGCCTCTGATTGAACCCGGGCTGTCAGCAGGAAGCGGCTGGGGCGGAAGCGCATGGACCGCCATCTTGGGTAGGGGCAGTCGTCGGGGCCGCAGCCTAGTGCCGAGGGTGACAGTGGAATCCGTCCGGTGCCCTGCATCTGCTGAATTGTTCTGCGTACCCCGTCTTGGGCCCCACACCCGCCCAAGAAGCCCTGCGGATCTCCACGCCCAGGGCCCCTGACTCGTGGCGCAGGTTAGGAGTTTGGCAGCCGGGACCCAACAGGGAAGGTGGAGGCGAGTGGCCGCGAACAGGACTCCGGAGGACGTTTGTTTTGGACAATCACGTGGGCGGAGGAGCCAGCCCGTAGTGTGTCTGCGGAGGCCGGTTGCCTGAAACCCGTCTTTCATGAGTGGGCAAACTGCAGAACTTCCCAGAGGAAGGGCTTGAGGCCTGCACCTCGGAGGGGGGCGCCTGCCCGGCGCTCCATGCCGAGGCTTTGGAGTCGCTCAGTGTCGAGGCCGTGGGGACAGACTGGTGGGGGTTTGTCCCTCACTCTTGGAAGCGCTCTGCAGTTCCTCCCGGCTGCCCAGTGGCCTCGCGAGAGGGTCCTGTGGGTCAGCACACAAGCACCGGAGGACGTAGCCTCCTGGGCTGCCTTGCTTCTAAGCGCAGGGCTTGACCACCTGCTCAGGACAGAAGGGTGATGTCTGGGGCTAAAGAAGGGTCGGAGAGGGGCACCTCTGCTGTTCCCATTCAGTGAATTCAGTGGATCATTATCAGGTATTCATTTTTAATTCGCATCACAGCAGTCAAGGGAGTGGGGGAACGGGAAGAAGTCAAGTGGCAGATATTTACATCTAAAACTCACATTGCTTGTTGGATTTAGAACATGCTACCACAATATATACAGTAAAATACTCCTTGGGACACTGGTACAAATTTTTTTTAACTTTTTCTGGTACAGGTAAGATCATTTCTAAGTCACTTTTTCTTTAGACATTAATACACAAAAGAAATGGTTAATAAGTTTTCTCGTTTTAAATAAGCACAGAATGCCAGAGGTTAAAAACACATTTATAGGGCTGATTACCAATAGGACATCACACTCTATACATTTTTTGCTCAAATTCCTGTACAAATACACAGCATTCAAATAGGTATTTACAAATAAGCTTGAAAGAATGAAAATCAGTATTTCACAATCTTTTCAAAGGATTCTTATCTCTGGCCTCCCATTTTCCCACAGACTGGCTGATGCTCCAACAAAAGGGATTCAGAATGTGCCCCATTTTATCCAGTTAGGGGAAATGGGGGTGTGTGGGGGAGGGCCTTGGCAAGGCCAATGAACCTGCACTCCTCCCAACCTCCTTTGTCACCATGTGAAAAGGTGGATGTTCTTACAGGATGACTGCCTGGTCTAGAGACTGAGGTTCACAAGTTCCTGAATAAGAGTCAAATGCACAGCTAGCCCCTGATCTCTGACACCTGTTAACCCAGATGGTCCCAGAATGGAAACCTGCAAGTGTATCCAGGATCAGGAGCAAGTGTGCCTTTCAAGCTGGGGGCTGCCTTGACTCACCTACCCCCTCAGCAGCCACTTCCCTGTTCTTGGAGTGATCCTCATGGTATCAGAAAAGCCCCACACTGCAGACACCTTTCTATCTTTCCTAATAGGTTGCCTGCATTTCTGTTCAACAAGTTGGCATTTGTTTATAATACAAAAGTCACCCTGACTGCAGCCTTTTCTGTTTGGAAAGAGCTATGGAGAAAGGATGAGGGGCTAGGGTCCAGGGCCTGGCCATGGAGGCCAGACAGGACAGCAAAAGGAACTGGGGGCAGCACAACTGCTCAAGAAGGCAGTCTTATGACCATCACTAATGTGGACTCAAGCAAATGAAAAAAAAATTATCTCAAGACAGTTTTTCTTTTTTTTTTCCCAAAGTAACTTAGAAGCACCCTGGTAAAATATTACTATACCCACCCCACCCCATACCCCCAAATAATACACCAAGAGGAAAATCAGTGCCCTGACCTGAAAGTTTCTTATTTAAAGACACCACTGCACCCTACCCAACAGACTGGGGAGGCTGGAGAAACCGCCCTCCTGTCTGCCCCAAACGAACCCTGAGTGGTGGTCCCCATGGGGCCTGGTGCGGGGCGCTGTACTCTGCTGCTTGGAGGATAACAATTCTGTGTGACTCTCTTCTTCCAAAAGGCGAAGTTTCCTCCCATCGTTTTTACCTAGGAGCTTGCTGAACCTGACCACATGTCCTCAGGGCCTGGAAGCCTGGCTGGGCAGCCAACCCCATGGCTCAGAGGTAGTGCTGAAAATCCCTGATTCAGGAGCTGATGGTAGGCATTCTGGCCCCTGGCACACCCCAGCCTCACTCTTAGTCCTTCTCTCTCTTTAACGCATGGGAAGGGGCCTAGCCTCTAGTAGGAATAGCCCTTCTGGCTCCACTCCTCCTGAGATTCGAGTCCCAGGAGGTAGGTTAACCCTTGCAGATCCGTTCGACAGGGAGGCTTTTGCAGGTCATGAGGTGTTTGAGTGGAAGGGAGCAAATGGTCAGAAATAAAAGTGATGAGAAAAGTCCAAGTAGGAGTAGATGAGGCTGGCCCATGGAAGCCTGGCAGTGTGCCCTGGGCATGCAGTTAGGCTAGTTACATGCCTGAGTCAGCACGTTGGTCTGACCAGCCCCTCAGTTGCACACTCCTGGACAGAAGAGTGGGCAGGTGGGCAAGCATTTGTGCAAAACGGATTTTGGCCCCTTTGTCCACTTGTGACATGTAGCCCACGTGGTCCTTGCAATCCCTGAATGCAACCATGAACTTTTCTGTCCACCTAGCAAAGGAAGAGGTCCCTAGTGCAATTTCCATTCTGTGCATCTCAACCCTGGAGGGAGGGCCTGGGCTCCTGCTCCTGGGCCCTGCAATGCTGCAAAGCAATTCTGTCTGTGCAATATCTCCATATAGCTCCATGTGGTCTGGAACTGCAGGAGGAAGAAAGCATCTACTGCATAAAGGAAAATCCATAGAAATGGAATGTAAAAAAGGAAATAAAAAGAGAAGCCACAACCCTTCATGCTGCTGTGGCCTCTGAACATGGCAACATATGAGTTCACGGCAGTAGAAGAGAGACTCAGGGTGGTTCTCTCCCGAGTGCCAAGCCTCTCTCGCTCCCTAGGAGGGATTTGCTTTTCAGACCTGGAGTGCTTGGGCAAGCTGCTCACTGAAGGTGTTGCAGCTGCTTCCCTGCCCCTCACTGTTCCCCTCGGCCGTGCTCCCAGGCCATGCGGGCCTGCTCCTCCTTGGTGCTCCCAGGAGGCAGTGAGGCCTTTCGGTGCAGGCCTCTCGGCCTCTCGGCCTCTTCGCGCAGCAGCACTCCCTCATCGTGTTCCAGGGCTGGCAGGCGGGGGTGGTAGGGCTTGGGCGGCAGCGCAGGCGGGTCCGTGGGGTCCTGAGGGATGACACATCCTGGGGCTGAGTGGCTTCTGCATGGCTGGACCTTGATGGAGTCCAGGACAGCGGATTCGGAGAGGCTGTAGTGGACAGGGAGGTAGGGCGGCTCAAGGTCTTCGTCGCCATTCCAGGCCTGGCTCGGCATAGAGTCCATGGTGTCAGTTCGAGGTGGGACCTCTGAGGAGTGCCCAAAGTTACTCTCGCTTAAGGAGGACACACCACTGCTGGCACTGCCAGACAGTGTAGAGTTGCTGCCATCCAGGCCCGACTGAGGGCTTGTGGGGGAGGCTGGGATGGGGTGGAGAGGAGACTGTGCGAAGGAAAGGGTGGGATGTTAGAATCCCTCTCTCTAGACAGGCTGATTGGCCCGCCATGTGGAGACCAAGAGTATGCTTACTAATGAACTTTAACCCTATCAGCTGCATGTTTCTTATTTCTTCATTACCCACCCCCCATGCCCCAAGCAGGCCAGTGGAGTCCCAGAATCACTGCATTTTTTCTTTTTTGAGGTACCAGGACTTGAACTCAGGGCTTCATGCTTGCTGGGTAGGCACTCTACCACTTGAGCCACTCCACCAATCCAAATAACTGTATTTCTGTGGGCAAACAAATGGCCCTGTGCTGGCTGCTGGGCACTGGTGTACCCTGGGGCTAAGTCCCAGGCTGTCTGTGGACTGGGTTACTTATAGAAGGTCATCAGGCTAGTTGGGGAGGCAGAAAGAGCCCTGGTGGGCCATGGACCAGATGAATGTATTCTGTTATTAAAATTTGGCAGACTCACTCCCATTTGCAGAGAAATTTGTAACAGCAGAGTTTAATGTCTTGTTTTTCATAAAGCTTTGGTGCCTAATGTTTTTTTTTCTCCCACTGGATACTAGTTTAAAAATCTCTATAACCCACCACAGGGACATTTATTTGCTATTGGACCACGGTGTGTCAAGGTCCTGTGGTGTTAAGCCCCCAATTTTCTCCATGCTTACTGTTCACATACTCTTGGTACCATGTGTTGTCTTTAAGACCCTCTGGTCTCCCTGTCCTCATTGCATTTGTCGCAGAATGTATTGGTTACCTGCGGCTCAATTGTGGCTCTGGCCACCCCTAGCTTCTCAAGGTTGAGCTCTCAGGGGCAAAGAAGCAGGGAAGCACTCAGGTTCTTCTTGTAGACCCCAGGGTGACTCTACAGGAGTAGAGACGGTGGAACTGTCCCTTTAGTACATTACCTTGCGCAGAGTCCGGGCAGGGAGAGCTGGAGGGATATCGCCCAGAGGATGGTGGAAGGCGTCAAAGTGTAGGGAGTAATGACCTGCAAAGAGAACAGAACCAGAGCCTCAGCTTGACACCTGCTTAAGCTGAGGGCCAGCACCATTTTGCTAGGCCAACTGGGCAGGTGTACAAAGAGTTCCCTTGGGACCTCTCAGCACTGAAGGCCATGGAAAAACCTTTTTTATATTGATGTTCTCCAAAACATAGACTGGGGTAAAAGACTCACTCCATACAGTAAAATTCAGTGCTTCAGAGCCCATGGAACAACAGGCTGCAGGCAGTAGCATCCCTAGCCCACTGGCTGGGCGATGACAGGGTAGTGAGCGGCACACCTGGCACAGTTGATTCCCGTTGTCTTCAGCCTCACTTGCTGGGATGACCTTACTGAGCTAACCTGGACTCAGAAGCCTTACCAACTCCAAAGTCCAGCAGGATTTTTTCTGTGGTGTGAATGTTTTCTCCTTGGCTGCGTTGACTCAAAGAATGGCCTATCTTCTCAGCCTGGACAGCTGTTGATCTGGATTTTGAACAGAGTCTGAGACCAGGGACTATTTGGGGGACCCGCTGGAGGTCTTCTTACCATGCAGCAGGCTTCGGGGAGGCACTGGGGGGGCCAGGGTGTGCCCCGTGTGGGTAGACAGGAAGGGCTGGGCCTCTTGGGCTCCGCTATCCAGGCTCCAGCTGCTGGGGGCTGCGGGCACTGCTGAAGGGTGGAAAGAGATGGCGTGAACAGAAGTTACTTCTTGAGCAACCCTCTGGGAGAAGCTTGTCCTACAACCTGCGGCTCTTCTAGGTATGTGTTGTGTATCCAGTACACATGGGAGTGGCATGCCAGCTCCTGGAACTAAACAGTGAGCAAGGCCAGTGACCACAGGGGCAAGTGCCAGGGATTGAAACTAAGAGGACGGCAACAGAGTGAGTGAGCTGATATCTGAAGGGTGCTCAGCATGAGGCAAGCTGAAAGAATGTACAAGGAATGAACATATGTGGTCCCTGGGATCTGCGAGCAGAAGAAGAGAAAGCAGAAGAGAAGAGTAGAACAGGTTGAAGAGATTGAGAATACAGAGAGAGTGCAGACCATAGAGCTCTTCCCCAAAGTCAAGAGTAAGGGCTCTTCCACTGCTTAGGCTCTATGGGAAAAGCAAGAAGCAGGATAGGAGGCAGAGACTGTCATTCCAGAGCTCCCAGAGCACAGCCAGGTAGTGGGCAGGAGCTGCCTCTCAGAGACGGTGGGTGACACTCAAACTTTGACCCATCCCACTTTTACGCCCACTGGATGTATTTGGGAAGCACAGGAGGTTTTTCTAGGCAAGGAGAGATGTGCAACATAACTGGAGGAAAATACAAAGCCCAGGAGTTGCAGCCAAGACCCACTGACTCACTGCTTCCTGAGGGAGGAGGGAGGGCTGTGGAACCCATGGATAGTTTAGAACATCTAGAGAAGTTACCACCTGCCATGGATGCAGAATATACAGTGGGCCCCAGAGTAAGGAAGTCCAGTGCCACGATACTCATCTCTCAGCCACAGTTGGGGTGAAAGATATATAGGACAGGAGAAGAGAGGAACAATGGCTAGAACTTAGGATCTGGGGTGAACTGTACAAGTGCAGGAAAGGGATGTAAAGCCTGTTAATTCTTCCTAGAGAACAAATGCCAGCAAGAAGAAACATGCCTACAGGAGACTGATGGACGGGGTGAATTCAAGTATGATGTATTTGATATATAGTAAGAACATTTGTAAATGCCACAATGTACCCCCAGCACAATAAAAAATAAATGAATAAAAAAATGAATAAAAAGAAATATGCCCTTTCTGGTGATGGAGCCTTGGGCTGTTAGCAGCAGGGAAGAGCAGCTCACAGTTTAGGTGTCTGCCTACTGGCCAGACAGTAGCCAGAGGTTTGGTTTCTTCCTGGCTCAGGCACTGAGTAAGGAATTCCAAAGACCTGATGGGAGCTTGGAGCCTCTGAAAGGGAAGGAGCTGGATGGAGTCTGGCATTCTAGGGGATGTGGCCAAAGAGGCTGGGCCCACAGTGATCCATGAATAAGTGTGTGTGTGGTCATGTCCATTTTCCTTCTTGCTCAGGGTTTGGTGTGGGCTTGCAGCATAGCACCAGGCAAAACTGCACTATCTAAACAGCCTCAGTTCTAAGAAGGATTGTAGTTGGTAGAGTTGATGGCTGACAGCACAAGGAGGGGAGTGGCAGCCATTCAGCAGTGGGCAGATACTCAGCTGTCACCTGTAGGGAGGAATTCTGAATCATATGAGTAATCAGGGGGATTCCATCAGACAGCTTCCTAAGAGAGTCTGAGTCATTACAAGAACAGGCCCAGCCTTACCCAGGCTCTTTTCCCAAAAGAAAAGTACCATCTCTATAAAAAGATACAAATCTCAGGAAAGAATATGCTTGGAGATGGATCTGAATAACTTCCCTAAAGAGATCCAACAACCCAAGATCTTAGATGTGCCCCTGGAAGAAATGTGAGACTGCAAAAGTTTACCCACAAGGGTCCAAAGGAACTTGAGGTCAGGAAGGCTATGGTGGAAGAAAGATGGCAAGGCTGTAATAGTGTACAAAAGGGTGCCTGCCTGAGCTATTCTATGTGAACCAGAAGCTACCAACTTGGACCTCTTAGCTTGATGACTATGGGCAGTGGATCTTTTCCATGTAGGAAGGCTAAGATAGAACTAATCCTAGAAGAGCAATATGCACTGGGCTTTGCCATCTCTCTCACCATTAGCTATCAAGTACTGGTCTGAGGTCCTCAGCACATAGCCCCTATCCCTGAGGGCAGGTTTGCTTGGTCTGGGAGTTTACTGCCTGGCAAAGGAAGATAACTGCAAGTAACAGATGAGATCCTCAGGGGATCTAGGACCCTGACCAACAAGAAAATGGTGACAAGTATGCACAAAAATGTGAAGTTCCTACCCTAGGGTCCAGGTAGAAACCTGGGGAGTATTCAGACCTATGTGTTGCCACTGGGAAAATGTGTAATTTGTTGTTCACTAAGAGACTAAGTGCTGATCTTGTGATACAGACATGAGGAGTTCTGAGCTCAGCCTTTGTTCTGAGACAACCCTCCTTCCCTTCCACACCTAGGGAGGGCATATCCAGCTTCTTTTGTGGTGTGGCCTGAGGCCTGAAGCTCTTCTGTGTCCAGTTGGCATAGCATCCTGGTCTGGCCACCAACATTCATTTGAGTTCTGAGCCTGTCTAGGCTCTTGGCTAGTTCTGAAATTGTTCTGCATTTCAGGCAAAGAAAACTCACTGTGGATTATGGCCCTTGAGGCCAAAAAGGAACTTTGTTTTGGGTCATGGGTGCTGGAGTCCAAGATGCTGCATGTTTCCAGGATGTGCAAACTTGAGGCTAGAAAGGCATCTTCAGGAGGCCCTTTGTGGCTGAGCATGTGGCACCAATGCCCGACAATCACTGAGGTTGTGGACTTAGCGTCTTGTCTTTTTATAGAAGACAGAGAGGTCCTGTCCTCTAGGATGAGCAAGGGAGGAACAATGATAGTGGGGATAGCAGACAGCAGTTGGTGAGGAGGTATAATGACAACATGATGACAGTTTTGGAGGACATATTCTGATGGGTTAGAGGACAGCAGGCTATTGGTGGGAACTGAGTATTCCATAAACCCCAACAGATGGAGAAGAGTAGAACTTGCAGGCTAGGTTCGGAGTGGCAGGAAAGATCATCACTGACCCCATTTAGGTATTGCTCTGTGTTAAAATTAACTTAGGTGTCTAGGGCTTCAGGCCAAGGCCATATGGGTCAGAGGCTGGTTCTTCTATTAGCTTTGCAGAGTAAAATGCCAATATCCAAACAGCTTCAGTTTGAAGGAGGATTTCTCAGTCTTATGGTATAGTTGATGGCCTTGCAGAGTAGATGAATGCATAGCAGCTGCTGGCCACAGTGGCTACAGGATGAATGGATACCTCTGGAGCACCCAGTGCTTCCCCTGGAGAAGCTTATCTTTGGGAAATTCACTTTGGTGTGTTTTTTCCATTCCTCTTGAGATTTTTTGTTGGCTATAGACCCATTCTGGACTCCAAGGAGAGGTCTCTGAGGGCCAAAGGGACCACAGGGCCTGCTGAATTCTGGGGCTGGTTAAAAAAAGCATAGGGGAGGGCTGCCCACAGCAGCCTGAGTTTCCATAAAGTTGGGCTCAGGTGCAGGTGGGCCTCTCTGAGGGTGGGCCCTGAAGAGAGGGAGAGATACAGATAAACCAATATGATCCAAACCAGATATGGGCTAAACAGTGAGCCTAAGAATTGGTCAGTGCTATGGAATAGATACACTTGGGTGCTGGAATGTAACCCTGACCACTCAGGGATGAGAGTCATACACTCAAGATGAGGACATGTTGGGGAACCCCTGGAGATGGGGAACAATACCTTTTTCTGCTATAGATAGATTGGGATCACTGCAGGGTTTGCAGGCTCCAACAACTTGCTGGAACAGGGCCCGCTGGAAGTTTGGTGGCTGAGGGAAGGAGAAAAATATCATGCTTATATATGAAATATAGGTCTAAAATGACAATAATAAATAATGAAAGTGGGACGTGAATGTAAAATGGGGACTGTGGGAGAGGGGCCAAATCAGTGGAAGGGACGAGGCGGATAAGAGAGGATACTGGGAAATGAAGAGATTTGAAGCATATTACATATATATATATATGAAAATAGCATAATGATACACACTGCCATTTGAAAAGGGGGAGAGGTGAATTTTTTCAGAGTACACTATATGCATCTAAGGAATTTTCATAATGCAACTCCTATTAATAATAAAATTAAAAAAAACCATCAAAGAATGTGAAAACAACCATCTGTATCTTGGGAGGCAGTGTTATGGACCACAGGACCAGGATGTTCTAGGATCAGATGCAGAAATCATAGCGGGATGGCTTATGCTTGAGATGTGCTGAAAGCTCCATGCCAGCCCTGGGGAAGACTGTCCAGAGGTGTCTGGTTCTGAGCCCTTCTATGGACATTTGAGGTATCACCCACGTTGTCTTGTGCAGGATCTAAGTACCTCAATATCTAACTGTCTGCCAGGGAGACCCACTCACAGAAAGGATTTAAGGACCCCTCTTACTACACAAGCACTGACAGATTTTACCTCCTGGGGAGGCTCTGCAAAGCTCCATGTTAGCATCAAGGATACAGAAAGGCAGCACCCAAGTCTACTGTCATACAGCCACCACTGCCCATCAGGTTTTCTCCCTCTGCCTGTCAAGGCTGATTAGGTACAGGGAGGTGCCACTGAGAAACTCCTGGCACTCTTCGGGGAGGTGGTGCTTACGTGGAGTTGAATTTTATGCAGGGGCAGATTGAACTGAGGAAAGAACTAATTGATGCAGCTTCCTGGTCCAGGCTCCTGGGCAGGGTGTTTGGAGAGCTGTTGCAAATTGTGTGCAGAGCAGGCTGGACAGATACAAGCAGCAGAGCCTGCCCCAGTGAGGATGCCCTTCACACATAGAGGAAGGACATCTTCTAGACCTATGTTCTCTACAGCCTTTTTGGGATCGGTTGAAAAACTCAATTTCCTCTGACAGAGGAATGGGGGATGAGTAGTCCAGGAAGCTGGCCAGATAGCCATACAAGCAATACTGGTTCCAACCTTGCTAGTGTTCTACCCACACCTGAACTCTGTCTGGTCCTCATACTCATTGTATTCCCCATCTGGGAGCCCAACAGTCTTTTTATGGCAGAACGAGAGAGGCACACAAGACAATAAAGAATGTCCAGCAAATGCAGTGGAGGGAGCCCAAGCCAACACACTTGTAGCAGAGGGCAGCCATCAGGTTGGATCTACTACCTGTCCATTCTCCAAGATGGCTGCTGGATACATGGCACTGCTTGGGCGGTCCCGGTGTGTGGGTAACAGCAACATCATTTCTCGGGCATGGCGGTACTTATCTGGCAGAGAGGGAGAGCCTGTAACCAAGTGAGAACAATCACGCACAGATGACAAACCACAGATGGAGGGCTCAGCAGTCAAATGTCCCTCAGGACTGGAGAACCAGAGTAGGTGTCCCCTTACAGTTGAGGTAAGCTTACCAACCACGAGCAATGAAGCAAACCTGATGGGTACATGGTGGTATCCCAGCCAAGGGACTCTGTCCCACTGAGGCAGAGGGTGAGGACAGTTGAGGACTAGAGGAGGCTGGTTAGGGCCCCTGCACCCAGTGCTCTCAGGGCATGGGTGTGGCCTGGATGCTGGGCTTTCCCAGGTATCCCAGACATGGGCACAAGTCAGCTTGCAATGGAGCCATCAAACAGAGACAAGAGACACTTAGATAACTTCACATAGTTCTGACTTGACATACTGTGTCCCTAGATACTTACCTTCTCCTGACACTAGAGGCCCCAGTTCTCTGACGGTCTCCTGCCACCTTTTGCCAGAGGGTTCTCCCTCTTAGATTCTAGACCTCTAGCACTTAGCCTGTGACTTCCTTCTAGTCCTACTGTATCCCTAGAACCAGGTTGGCTGGGCACCCAGAGGCATGCATACAGGTAGCTCTGATACTTGCCCTCAGTGAGCTCAGGGGCATGGAACCCAGAAATTGTGGGACTTTAACCTAGGCTCCTGAATAAACCTGGTTCACATTTTCTTCCTATGAGGCTCTAGTGACTTTCCCTGGCCTGCGGTGATGAGGTCAGACCATGCTGGGTGTCAGGTGACCCAGTCCCCATGGATTCAGACCACGGCTATAGGTAAAGGAACCTGCCATCTTTATGTTTCTTAAGAGGACTTTCCACTGAAGCAATAAGAGTAATTTGCTGGCTTTTTTGAAGTATGAATAATGTGACCAGCCCCACAAATGTGCATTGCTTATTGTGCCAGACACCAGAATATTCAGTAACAAGCCTGGAATCCACCAATCTCTTCATGGGAGGGTCACCTGGATCCCCAGCTGGCTCAGGTGGTTGAAATTCCTCTATATAGTGTACCCTGAGAAGCCATGCAGCTGAGACCAGGCCATGGGCTCCAGTGAATACAGTTCTTAGAGGCTCTGTGTCTCCCAAACCTAGAATTTTTAGGGCTTTCCTTGGAGTGTGTAGTGCCAGTACTGTTAGGACACAGTTAAAAAATTTTCTTCAGCCAGCTTCTCCCAGGAGTCCTTGAGAAATTCCTCGCGTTCATTTTAGCCCAAGAAGTCAGCATAACAAATACCAGTAATGTAACTTTCCTCACAGTTTTTATGTAATTTCTTCCACAGTTGGCCTGAGAGATCCTGTTTGCAGAACCTCAGGGCTGGCTTTGAAACTTAATCATTGAAAATGTCCTTCATTGATAAGGGAATGAGCAAAGTATGATTCTTTGAAAAAACTGGGTTTGAATTTGCTACACTGTGGTTTTAGTGATTTGTATTTTCTCTTTTAGAACCTGTGCTTTTAGGCAACTGCAAGAAGATGGCTATGTAAAGAAAAAGGAAAAATGTTCCAAATACCACTGATTTGTCTAGTGCCTTACCACGGAGAACCTCAGGATGCTCCTTGAGCCTGGTGGGCCAAATCTGGATAGGGCTCGCCTCCATTTAGCAAGCACGAAAAGAAACACAGCACCTTTACATCAACTCAGTCACATCAAACTTCAAATACCCATTCTACACCAGGAATGTAGCTGGAACCGCCTCTCTTAGGCTATCCGCGTTTGCTCACCTTACAGAGCTCATGGCCCTGGTGTACAAGGTCAACCCCTGATCCACATGAGGATGAAGGGACAACAGCCTACAGATACAGGCAGAGCCCAGAGGCTCTGCTGAGGATTTGCATTCATATTATGTTGGCCTCTCTGGTGCTGTAACAAAGGAGGGCTGTGCACTAAATTTTCCAACTCTTGTTCTACTTCCCTCCCACTGTCCTCTGTCTGATCCCATGGCAGGAGAGGGTGATGGTTACTTTCCATGAATACATTTAAATGCCATGAAGGCTTCTATGTTTACAGGACTTTTGAACTATTTCAGTTGTACTCTGATAATTGTTAGGGAAGATAAATCCCAGGGAAATTGTGCTCAATCTCTAGGTTTCCCAGCACTAATCAGCCTTTTAACCACCAGGGGGAGCTGCTGACTTACATGGGTCATTCATCTTAGGTTTCCAAAGCAATAGGAACCACAGTAGACAGTATCATTGGGTATGGGAAGGAAGGACACTGTCTCATGACCACTCCTGGGAATGGGGAAATAACTCCAAAGAAGAGGACTCCACTTTAGACCTTCATGAAATCTTTCTCCTCACTGGCAACAAGGGACATTAACTCCAAATGGGATAGCCCTATCTCATCTTTGCCCAGAATGTATCTACCATGGTATCTGTCACATTTATTTGAAAACCTCAGCCTTATCCTATGATGCCACACTCAATCCTCTGTCTTCTCTCACAGGAACTAACACTGTGCCTAATAGACATTGGGCCCTTCTCCAGGTGGGTCTGCACATGGATTGTATGAATGTTGTGGTCTAGAAACAACTTCCCCCCACACCTTTTTTTTTCAGTGCTGGGGGTTGAACCCAGGGCCTTGCACTTACTAGGCAAGTGCTCTACTACTTGAGCTATATCTTGAACACCTTTGTCTTTATCTTTTTTTTGAGGTAGGGTCTTGCTAATTTTGCCCAGGGTAACTACAAACTTGAGATCCTCCTGCCTCTGCCTCTTGAGTAGCTGGGATTAGGTGTGCACCACCACACCTGGCTGACTTCCTCTCTTTATTATTGCCTCTGCCTTTATCATCATTCCTGCTTGGTTCCCAGTTCTATTTAACCATTTTGCTTATTTGTGCACTTAATATCTACCCCAGAAAGGGATGGGGCTTTTCTCAACCTTCCTCTGAGAGTTTGTCTCTAAACATGGTGACTATCAATGCCTTCCTTTACATGCCATTTCTTACAACATGAGGTGGAATCTTGTTCCTCTCTTTGGCATCTGAGTTGGCCTTGGTGATTTGACAGGCTAATTTAAATGTGACAAGGGAACTTTCTAGTATATCCAAGTCTGGGTAATAAACAGCCTTGCAGATTGCAGCTTGTGCTTGGGTCTGTTGCAATGCATGCTGCTCTGGGAGAAAATAAGCAGTCATGCTGAGAGAAGCCCAAGCCACTTGGAAGGGTCATACATAGGAACTCAAGTTGACAGCTCCTGCTGATAGACATCACCAACTGCCAGTCATATGAATGGCCACTGGACTCAATGTAGTCCAGTTGAGTCCAGGTGACAGCTGACTTGGTGACCCCTGCTAACTCAGAATAGTGAGAGTTGATAATATATTGTTTTAAGACAAGTTTTGGGTGAGATTTATTACACAGCAACAGGTAACCAAGCTATTTGAAACAAAGAGGTTATTTCCAAACAAAAATACTTTCTCTCTATTCCACTCTGATGTAGTGCTCCCTCAGATAAGAGTCATGCAGATTCTTTACTGAGCATTCAGTAAAAATTTGGTAAGTAAACAAATCAGTAACTAGTTAGTGGGAATGACAAAGGTGGTCAGAGGCAGCCTGTAAGGTCCCTGACAGCAGTCACAGCCTAGAGGAGTATCTGAGCAATGTCGGTACTGAATTAAAATATTCATCCCTTAATGCCTTCTGACTGAGATCTTTCTTCAGCAAGAATAGCTGAAGTCTTAGCTATGGTTGAGCATATCTTACAGACTTTAGGTTAAAAAAAAACAACAAATCCCAAATGGGATTTATTAAATCTGTTTCTACAATTTTAATCAGGAGCATTTTTTGCAAGACACTGTAAATGCTGATCTTCAGACCTTCATCAGGGTGTTCACAACTACTTCTCAGGGTTTCTTTCCTTTTTATTCTCAAAGCCATCTCTGTGTGTGTGTGTGTGTGTGTGGTCTCTGTATGTGTGTGTGTGTGTGTGTGTGGTGGGACTGAGTTTGCAAAGCAGGTGCTTTACCACTTGAGCAACTCCTCCAGTCCATTTTGCTTTAGTTATTTTGGAGCTAGGGTCTCAAGAACTATTTGTCTGGGCTGGCCTGGAACTGTGATCCTCCTGATTTCAACCTCCCAAGTAGCTAGATTACAGGCGTGAGCCACTGGCACCCAGCTGTGTGCCTTCTTTATAACATGAAGCACTGTCTGTTCTTCATGTTTGCAGCCTTTAGCTGACAAATCTTTAGCATGTACCAATTTGTTGGTCCATCTGTCCTATTCAACACTTGAGAAGCCTGCTTCCAAGTGCTGGCTCCCCTTGTCTAGATCCCACAGTTCATACGAGGAAGGCAATAGGGGTAGTAGAATGGGCACCAGATAGAGGGTTGGTAGGTGTTAAGACCTGTATTCAAAATTCAGCTTTTGCTCTTTTCATTGGACCTGTCTTGCCACAGCAATGAGGGGATGCTTCAGGTGGAAGTCTGTGACTGCCCTGTTGTAACCTTATTCCCTTCCCTCCAATTTGCCACAAGTCTTCCCAGCTGGCAACCGTCTCTTTCCACTATTCCACACTACCTCCATTTCCATGACTCCTATTGTAGACCTCACAGGTTTGTGTACTTTGGAGGGATTCTTTCCTTTGTGGTCTTCCATATCATAATTTTGTGCTATTTTTCTTTATATTAATAATTAGAAGGACAAAAAGACCCTGTCCTTCTGAAGCTGGCAGCAACAGCCAGTTGGCAGGCTCAGACCACTGCTACTATTTTGCATGGTCAACCCTAGGAAGCTTTAGAACTTAAGTGCCACAGATGATTTCCATTCCAATGCAGATGTTTCTATCTAAAAGAACAGAATCAACTTTCACTGCAGAAACAAAGACCATAATGTGAAAAAGATGCTGTCTCTAAAAAACAGCATTTATCCACTTGAGTAAGAAATCAAGCAATATTTGGCAAAGTAAATAGTTTTTTAGAGAGTCATCTCTCCTGATTAAACTTTTTCCAACTGAAATAAATTGTCTTGTTTGATGTTACTGTTTTATAATAATGTTTTCCAGTGTTAATTTTATTTTTCAAATTTACTTTTTGTACTTTGTCATCAAGTTTGATTCCTCAAGACAAAAGACTCATTTTTGCCTTGACTAAGATCTTTATTCTTGTGAACATTTCAATGGGAAAGAACTGAGCTTGTGTCTCTTACTCTGTAGAGGCAATGCTGGCTAACTAGTGCTGGCTCAGTTGCAAACACTGCCACAGCTGTGTCTAAGCCACCTGGAGTGAGAAATATGGAGACAGGGACCCTGGAATCCTTCCTTGGTTTTAAAAGCACAAATGAGCTTTTAAGTCACAGGGCCACTCTCAAAGACACAACCACAGATGAGGATGAGTGGGGTTCATGAAGCCCTCTCTTCTCCCTCTGTAAGCAGCACCCTTGTCATCCTTACCTCGGGCACTGGAAGGGGCAGAAGTAATCATCTGGGATGGTGCTGAGTGAGTGGAACTCAGGCTGGAGGAAGAAGGGCTTGCCTGGGACGAGGACAGAACAGAGACGTTGGTGACTGAGCCCTGGTACCTGGGATTGTGATACGTGAGCTGCAAAGGGAGAAAAATCAGCAGGATAGAGTTCTGAATTGGCTGTAGGGCTGGTGCAGAGTTGGCTTCTTCATGACCTGAAGTGCCCAGACCCAGTGCTTGGTGCTACATCCTGGGCCCTGATGAAGCCAGGCTGATGGCCACCACTAGGGACTTTACCCATACCACCCCCATGGAGCAAGGCTATTGGGTTGGCTCTACTATGGTTCGTGTGGAGGATGCAGGACTTAGTCATAAGGAATGCCAAGCAGGAGAGTAATCTGACAGAGGGTCTTTCCCATGGAATCTGTGAGAGCAGGTAGGGCTGAAGCTGGATTCCCTTCTTGGGAAATAAGGCTTAGGGACTGAGACTTGAGATGGCAGGTAGAAAGAAGGCAGCTTTACTAGCTCTGGAGAGGGGTGTTCTGAATTCAGCAACTAGACAACTTGGCAGGATTGCCAGCCCTCAGACCAGATCCTCCAACAGAAAGGTGAGTCCTCTAGGCATGGTACCCTGCTTGTTCTCCTTGGACAGCTCTGGTACCTGCATGTGATGGTACAGGTCCTCAGGAGCCTCGCCCATGGAGCTGTCGCCCATCATCACCATGTTTCCCGCTTCACTAGACGCATGTGAGGAGAGAGAGGATGATGAATGGCGGCCTGTGCCCATCAAGTTCATGGGGCTGTGAGCAAGAGTGGGAAATAGGGAGGAATCAGGCCATGGCTGAGAAAGCATGATGGGTAGTAGGGGCAGTAGAGGAATGTGTGAAATGGTCATCCTCAGCCTTGGCCACCACTGGTTTGGAGAGTTTTATAGTCAATGTTCACATCTACCTGAGGCCTGGAGCAGTCCTGAGCCCCATTCTGCTCTCAGGAGCCCCTGGCCTGGGAAACCCTGGTGCAACCTCTAAAATAGAATATGGCCACTTAGTCTGATGTCATTAACAGTTTATCAAGAGGAATGAAAGAGATATGCTGAATCAGGTTAAGGATTCTACATCTCTCTTATTATGGGATGTTAGTCTGAGCCAGTATCTACTCTTGACCATACTATGCTAGGATCTGCATCTAGGTTCAGAAGTGTCTTCCTTGGTATAAAGACACTATGAAATTGCTGGCTATGAATGATCTGTGGGTTTCCTTCCACCCTGTGGCCACAGGCTACCCAACAGCTTTCCTCTGTCAATATCAGGAAGCCCTTCATTTGTTCTTTCTCATTTACTGAGTTCCCACTCTCCTGGGTGGCTGCTCATACTGAAAAACAAATCTAAGTAACAGAGTCTTTCACTGGTCACCTCTTCTAAACAAACCTGGCCTTCCTACCAGGTTTTGAGGCTCTGAATATCCTTAGTTGAGCCTAGTCAGGCCAGAACTCTTGAGTTTCAAGCAGCTACACCTTAAATATCCACCTCATCATATTATTCTCTTCTTTAAATGAGGCAATCCTCATTCCCCTTGGGTTCACAGCCAAAGGTCCACATGAACAACTCCATGTAGAGCTGGTTGTGATCACCTTCCACACCCTGGAACCCTTCACTCCAGCCACTTGGCTCTACTCATTATGCTGGACAGCTGGCTTGTTCACACCCTGAGGATTCAGTATGTGTCACTTTGCCTGGATCTCATCCATCACCTTTATAACCCCAACTCTTTTCTTCCTAGCAAGGTTCTAAGTGTCTTTTAAGACTTGTTCCAATGCTTCCTCTTCCGTGTTCCCGCAATACCATGTATACATGTCACAGGATTGTGACTGACTAGATGCAGAGCACGGGTACTGTAACAGGAGCTGCGGCAGGGCTGTGTGCATGGGTAAGAGGGAATGCAAGTACATACAAGCACTCTCTGGAACTCCTTTCCTGTCATGCTCATCCTCCAGAATCACCTCTCTGGAGAGAATGGAACTCTCCCTAACCTAAGTCCATACCTGTGCCGGTGGCTCATCTTGATGTTCTCAGGGCTCATTGGGCTATGGGATGCCAAAACATTTCCCCGTGGTGTGCTTGTGCCTGAACATGCAGGACTTAGCTTATCCAAACCTGGAAATTCCTGTTGAGAAATGAATGTTTGTTCATAGAGAGTAAAGAATAGGTAAGTCAGGTGTAGGAAGGATGACCTGGCTGGTGGTCAAAAATGTAAAACAAAACTATGTTCTGTATTGCTGACTTCTTTTGGACAATGACTCCTTTAGAACTAAACACTGTCTTAACTGTATTGGAAGTGAGATGAGAAGGCACAAGTCCCTTTGGTTGATTCCATTAAGTGACGCATACTTGGAATTGGCTGAAGTTGGTCTGAGCTCACAGGGTTGCATTAACAGGCCTTCTCATTACAGAATAAGTAGAGCAAGGGCTGGGAAGGACGAGAGGAAGAACTTAGTATCAGGTGTCAGTCAGTGGAATGTCTTATGTAAGAACTGGTGCTGGGTTTTATTGGATTGCTAAAGGCCCCAGATCTTAGTGACCTGAGTTAAGCTGCCTATGACATAGTCTATGGGGAAACAGGAAACAAAGTGCTGATGTAAGTAATTGAAAAACAGCACAGTTCTATTTTAGCATAATTAAATTCTTATTAAGTATGTAGACTTCTTGGCAGAAACTTCTAATCTCAAGCCCTCCTGGGTGATAGCATATTGGTCTGTGTCCCCATTTGTGACTCTGAGGAAATAAAGCACAACTTTCTAGGTTTCCTCAAATCCTGGATAATCTATGGTGGACTCTAAGTCTACTGGGGATTTTTCTGAGCCTGGCCTGAAGTAGCAGATTTTCCATTCTCTTCTTCCACAGCATGTATAGGGCTGAAATACGCTTCTGCATTCTGAGAGGACACCTCCATGTATGTACACCAGAGATATTGACATATATGGGGAAGCACTTTGTGCTTTTTGCTGAAGTGACCTGACTTCCCATGTGGCAGAAAACCTACCCTGTGGCCAGGCTCCACCTGCTGTGATGGGAAAGTCTGCATATAGCTGAGATAAGCCAAGCTGGCAAGAGAAAAAGTGTAATGAGAGGTGATGGAATTCTCATCAGATTCAGTTCTTTACTAAGTGGACACCTCAGTTTTAAGGAGAAACACTTATTTTCTGCATGTTTCACCTTGAAACATCATCCAAGAATCCTAACAGGAAGGAGAAATTCAGGCTCTATAGGCTTTCCTGTGGAAAGTGTGCCCACCTCTCAAACTATGACAAGCTTTTCCACTTTTTACTTTTCATGGTGTCCATACTTGTGCAGAAACAGGATGAGACCTGCACTGGAGTCTGGGGACTAAGATGACCATAACTTGCAGTGTTGAATAACAAAGTGGGTTAGTTCCATGCTAGTCCACTGAGTCTGAATGTTCCAACCTCTCCTAGGTCCTCTGTGGCCAGGGGTAACTCCTAAAGAGGAACTTTTTGTCCATGATAACCTGGTCCAGCATCTAACAGGCCTGCTTCCTTGCTTCCCTGCCACTTCTACCTTGTAGTCCCAAGTAATGAGGAGCGCGCCTGATGAAGAACAAACTTGGGTTTATAGTCCCTGAGAAACGGGAGTCATCCTATTTAGCAGGAAGGCTTCTCTAGAATACATATGGAGTCAGCTTCATGGTTAAAACTCAGGGAAGGATATGTGAATAGGGTCCTCAGGGATACCTAAGCCCTATCCTCAGTCAGCAGCATTCTCTGTAAAGACTCTGCCAAGGAAAACTGGGTCCTAGAATACAGGTCCTGCCTGTGTGTATCAGTCCATGGGCCAAACACAGCTGTGGAGGCTGAAGAGCCAGGCTACAGATAGGGAAACATCTGAGACCTGGTCTAGCTCCAGAACCTGCCTAAAATATCTTAAGAGTAGCAACCATGAAAAGTATTGTATGTCTTTTTTTGCTTTTCATTTTTTTTTCTATTGAAAGTACTGTACGTCAAATATGTGAGTCTGAGTTACTAGACATCATGGAAGAAGTTGAGATAGAGAAGGGCATTAAGAGGGAAGGAAAAGAGAGGAAAAGGGAGGAGAGGAGAAAGATAGGGAGGGAGAAAGAAGAGCAATGAGTTGAGACAGCTGGCTCAGGCCATGTTTTAATTCTTTAGGATCTTGCAAAGAGATCTATGTACTTTAGCTCTTCTAATCTGCATATGAAAACTTCTACCCACTAACACAGTGCCCTGAAAAATGTTCTTTGCCCTTGAATCTGACTCCTTCCTTGGGAATGAGTTAATGAGCAAACGAAAGAATCTTCAGCACCCTTGCCATGGATAAAGCAATCATCCCTGCCTCCTGCCCCTCTGTGGCAGGTACAGTTTCTCCCTCCTACCTACTTTTCTTTGGCTGTGGCATAGATCTGGAGAAACTGCAGCCCAGGCAGGTCAGGGATCAGCTTACATGGTATAGACTGGCCCGCATCATCTGGAACTGATCAATCAACTTCTTATGCAGAGGCCGCATTTCTGGGTGAACAAACTTCTCATGGACTGCTAGCCCAACTCCAAGGACATGGACCTATGGAGAATGCCAAACAAGGCCTCTCTGTTAAGGAGGAAGCAGATGCTGAGAACTGCAGTCATCTTGCAGTGTGTGGTCTTTCCCATTGGTTGTGGGCCTTCAACTCCTGCAAACCATACCTGCTCCTGCATTAACTCTTTCAGCTGGGCGATCTTCTCTGCATCTCCTGGATGCTTGGTGATGTAATCTTTATCAAAGAAGGCCTGTGAAGGGAAGGCCAGGTATAAAGACTCCTTCCAGGACTACCACTTACGTGGGGTCCCAGAGGCCTGAGTCCACAAATTGCCTCCTCACAGGTGCAGATACCAGAACCTCTGGCTTGACTTGTTTGAACCTCTGGCAATCAGGTATGTGGTTTTTTGTCTTTTGTGCTAAGCACTGGAGATGTACAAGTCACCTGAGCCTGGATGCTGGTCCCAATTCTTCATGGAGCCTGGATGCTGGATGGCCTAGGAAGGACAGGTAGGTCTGATGGCCTGGGAGCGGTGGCTAGCTTCTTAGCCAGCCTATAATGCACTTTTCATGAAGGGCTGGACATAGGGCTTCCCTGTCACTTAACTTTCTCCTATAATCAGATGGATTACCTATCTGTCAGATCTCATTTAATAAAAATGAAGAAAAAGCCCAACCAGATATTTGTACCACAGAAATAGGGAGTGCCAAGAGCTTACAATCTCACACCAAAACCATCCCAAGCTAGCTTAGCCAGAAAAGGGCTAGCTGGGAAGACTTCCCAAGGAGGCTGCCATCTTGAGAAGAGGAGCCTATGAACTTTCTTCCCAGCAACTGCCTGTGTGGATTTAGTCCAGGGCCCCAGCTTACCTCCTGGTAGCGTGCAATGCCTCCATTGACAGCTGCATCAATGACTCCATTCAGGCACATGCTGAGCAGGTTGATATTACCATGCACCTGCTTGTGTTGATACTGGCTGATCAGGGCTCGCAGCTCCTGGTTCTTATTCTCAACAACCTGGATAGCATTCTCCAGAGGGCTCACCTCCACCTGGGGGCACATAGCAAACAGAGTCCTCCCAGGAACAATGATAACCCCCCATCATGTTCCTGAGAGCTGGGATCTATGACTTGTGATTCTGATTTTCCTTCCTCGCTCCTGTTGTCTCAGGACTTCCTTGGCCCTTTCTTTTCTTCTTCTGATTGATTTATAGACACCTGGAAATACAGCAAGCAGTGAAGAGTGCTAGTTCTGAAATCAAAGAGCTCCGACTTCTTTTTTTCATTTGTAAAGTTGGAGATTAAAAATACCTGCTGCCTAAGGGTACTGTGTGGTTTAGATGAGAGAAGATACACAAAGTTTCCAGCACAGGTTTGACCTGGGAAGCCAAGGCCAACCAGGTGGCTGAAGTTCTTTCTTTCTTTAGTCCTTAAAGAAAGCTCCCCAGAGTCAGGACTAAGTGGGTGCCTGTGAAGTATATCTCACCAATTCCCTTCTTTCCACTTCAAACCACCGAGAGATTCCAGGCAAGCTGTGGGTTAGGGTCAGCGTGGTACGCTCAATCCACAGGCTCTGCAGGGAGGGCACAGGCAGACGTAGGTAGTTAGATAAATTTTGTCATACCCTGCCTACCTGAGGGTGCAATTGTGCTGAGTTCCTAAGAAAGTGGGGCTTGCCACAATGCTATGAGCATTGCCCCTGCTTTCCTAGAGTTTTTCACCTTGAATTCATTCTCCTTGTCCTTGGGGCCTTTGTGGAAAGGTCTGTCGTACCGGAACTTCCTCACATTGTTGACACGATAGAAGCTCTTGACACGATCTGGTACCCTATCCATCTGCAGAACATCCACATATTCTGGAATGGGTGTCACTGCATAGATCTGCAAGTCTGGGCATGAAGTGAAGGGGAAATCCAGGCTTGCCAATGAGAAAAATCAGTCATCTCCTCAAAGGAAAGAGGTACACTATAACCCTTGTTCCCTACTGACTGGTGGTAGCGGCAGATAAGATCTTAAGGGGCAGATGAGATATAAGCACAGTTAGATAAATCTCTCTATCTGCTCCTCTTTCTCCCTGCTCTAGCAGTGAGACTCATGAACATCCAGCCAAGGTGAGATGGCAATAGCTATCTGTTAGCTAATTCTATGCTTTCCTTTTAAGAGGAGAAAAGAGATCAGGAGAATGCAGTACCCACCCCACAGGAGTGAGAGAAGGTTTTGAGGTCCTGGGCTTGCCCATGGTAGGTAAACTGTCTACAAAAAACCTTTTAATAAAATACTATCTGTAGTTTTTGTGGAGAGAAAACAGATGTGAATCTGCTTTCTCTCCCTTCTCTGCAATAAGTTTGCTATAGTCATGATAACTTTCATGTGGTCTCTAAGGAAGCTGTGTGAAGAGATGGTAGGAGCCAGCCAGTGTTTGCAATGAGACTTCCAAGTGCCAATAAATCAAAGGTTCTCCCCATCCCTTTCCCATCCTTGGCACTCCAGTCCACATAACAAAGACCAGGGACAGAAACTGTGCACAAGGAAGTAGAACAGGCCACAGCAAGGTGGTAAACCAGTGACAAGAGCCCTGGTGGAACCCCAGTCACCTTGCACGCTGACTGCTCTTGACTGCCTTGGCAGGTCCCCCATAGGGTAGGATGGAGACTAAGCTGCTGATGGCAGTCAGCCTGAGAAGCATCCCTCTGATATGAGCACACATGGCTAAGGGCATCGCACTGCCTGTTCTGAGGCTTGAGTGCTTTGCTAAGTGTGGTCTCAGGGATGAGGACACAGGTTTACAACTATGGGTAACTTAAATAAGGTTGGAAGGCCAACCACATGGTTGAAAGTTGCCTGGGTGTGACTCACCTAACAGGATTCCAGCCCTCTCCCCTCCACCAAGTATCAAAAGATACACTGAGCATCACATTGTAGGATGGCGTCATCAGGATGGTTAGGATGCTGCATGGCGACAGCCTGGGGGAACTCGCTGAGCATCCTTTGCTGGAAGGCCTCCAGCCTCTCATAGTCATGGCCACGGCACACGTATTCTTTGTTCTGCCAAAAATATGAGAGCATACTCTATACCTTGTCTGTAGCCTCCCCTCTACCTCCACATGGGAATTCATAGTTACTCATTCCAAAAACACACTCTAGGAACCTCCTCTATACCAGGCTTGGGGGCAGGCACAGAGCATAGCACTTGGTCCCTGTCCTAAGAGGAATGGCAGTTGAGGAGGGAGAGGGACAAATGAAGGGAGAATTGCACTGTAGTGTGGCAGCCATGGGGATGGGCTCCAGGCAACAGGGAGGAAGGAGAAATACCTTACCTGGGATTTTGGGAAAAGCCATGTTTAAAAACAGTCCCTAAAGGCCCACCTGGTATAGCCTGCTAGAGATGAGTAGAGGAAAAATAATCTGTGGGCACAGTAACAACCTGGGCAGTGACAGCCAAAGCTGGAAAAGGTGTAGTTGAAAAGAAGGACTGGTGAGAATGGCTGAAAGGCCAGCAAGAGGGCCAAGGAATGACTGCTATGGGTAATACCATATAATTTTAAATAGAGTGTGATCAGTTATATACTTTTGAAGGATCATTCTTGTCAGCTAGGAAAAACAGCCTAACAGTGCCCAGTTGGTATTCAGTAATTATTTATTGCATTTATACCCTCCCCCCATTTTTTTTTCAGTACTGGGGTTTGAACCCAGGGTCTTGAGCTTGCTAGGCAGGTGCTCTACCACTTCAGCCATCCATGCTCTAGCACTGTAGGGCTTCAGTTATTTTTCAAGTAGGGCCACATGTTTATGCCCAGGCTGGCCTGAACTGCAATCCTCCTGTCCACGGCATCCTGTGTAATTGGGACCACAGACACATGGCACCATGCCCAGCGTATTGATTAAGATGGAGCCTTGCTAACTCTTTGTCTGGGCTGGTCTTGAATCCTGAGTAACTGGGATTATAGGTGTGAGACACCACACCCAGTCAATAAACTCCTTTGGTAGTAAGCTCCTTTGCAAACGTGTCAGCAGAACAAATCAGTATTATTTGAACTACATATTCCTTAAAACCTTTTGTTATGTCATATCTGGTTTGGGTTATGTCTCAGTTTTTCTATTTGTGGACTGAGGTCTTCTTATGGACAAGATACCGCCAAACCCTGCTGCTCTGCCTACCTCTCACAGCTGGTTATGAGTGGGTAGCTGGAGTAGGTCCCTCTGAAACCCACTGGTGACACTGCCCACCCAGCTGTCTCACCAGACCCGCTACAACAAGTGACAGTGGCAGTCCCTCTTGGCAAGTATGCAGAGAGAGAGGGAGATTGTGAGGGAGAAGGAGACAGAAAGTCTCCATAAAGCCAGCTGTATACTTCTAAGGCCAGGCCTTGGAGGACCTCAGTCTTCTCAGAACAGGATTTCTGTCCCTTCCTATTGCTTCTCTTATTGTGGGAAACTCAGATGAGGCTGGGTCATGTGTCTGGATGAATCAGAGTGGAAAGTTAACACCAGAAGGGAAGTCAATGTTAAGAGGGACAGGCTAGACCGACAGTAGCCAAAGGATGGAGACATTTGTAAGTCTCCTGCTTGATAAACAGAACTGATAAAGAAAGTAAGATTATCCCTTGGTATCCACGGGGGATTGGTTCCAGGATGCCCCTGAAGATACCAAAATCCATGCATGTTCACATCCTCCTGTATACTTTAAATCATCTGTAGATTACTTAAAATACCTAGTATAATATAAATGCTATGTAAATCGTTATACTATTTTTATGTAGGGAATACTAAGACAAGAAAGTAAGTCTATACAGACACTTTCCCCCCAGGTGTTTTCTATTCATGGTTGGTTGAATCCTCGGATGTGGAACCTATGGGTAGGGCTGACTCTACTTGTGAAGAATTGGCATTTTCATATTCACTCACATATATATAATAGTCACCTGTGTCTGCTTATGGATCAAATGAAAAGAAATAGGAATTACCCCAAGAAGGGAGAGCTGGATGTTTTCTAGTCTCCTTGAAGATTAGTAGATAATCACATTTGTGAGGTGAGGAGGGCAGAAGGTTCAGAGAAACCAAGCTGAGCATGTTTGACAGCCTGCCTACTCAGGGGTAGTGAGGGAGTAGTCAAGTCTAATGGAGAAGGCCCAATAGTAGGAAGGCATATAGTGCTGACCTTGAGGGTGGCTGTTGGTCTCATATTTGCTTGAGCAAAAATCCCCACAAAAGTCAGATCTGGCTGCCACTACTTTGCACTTTGTTTCTGCCATTTACAAGGCAAACAGTTACCTTCATGGGGCTGTATTCCATTTGCCACAGATGAACTGAGCAGCTGAAGGAAGGGAAGGCAACATGAGGTTAGGCCAGGGAAATCTATATACATGAATCAACTTGTGGAGACTGCTCTTTGGATGGAGATGGGAAGATCTGAAAACTTTTGTTATTCTTCTTTTGCTGGAGCCTTTGAAATTACCTTTGAACAGTTAGACTGTTACTTCCAAGTATGATCTGGACAGCTCAGATACAGGTTCTATGCCAGGTCCTACTTGTCAGAAAGCTCTGAGAACCCTGAAATATGTATATACCTTGTGACATATATAAGACATGTACAAGAGAGGGTAGGAGCCAGGTTGAACCTCACAGAACATTCTTGGCAGGGAAAGACACGTGAAACAACCAAGGCCTGATTTTGTAATATCCAAAATGATGATGTTTTGGAGTGATATCTGGTTTAGAATGTACAAATTGTGGATCTACACAAAAAGAATAAGATGACAATGAAGCATAATTTGCAAAAATGAGAAAGAAGTAGGTCACAAGTAGAGCTATTAGTTTGTCAAAGAACTTTGTGGAAATGTTCTTTGGTTTTAATTCTTTTTTTTTTTTGGAAGGAGTGGTTACTGGGTTTGAATTCAGTGCTTCATGCTTACTAGGCAGTCTCTGTACCACTTGAGTCATGCCTACAGCTTTTTGCTATTCTTTTTTTTTTTTTGGTTTTGTTTATTTATTTTTATTGTTGTGCTGGGTGGGAGTACATTGTGGCATTTATAAAAGTTCTTACAATATATCATATTTGAATTCACCCCCTCTATCACTCTCCTTTATCTTCCCCTCTCCCCATTCCTGGAGTAGTTTTAACAGGTATCATTTTTCCACTTACATATATGTGTACACAGTATTTGCAGTATACTCACCCTTTCCCTACCTCTTTCCACCTCCCACTGGTACTAATGCCCCTAGACAGGACCCTTTCCACCCTCTTGTTCTCCAATTTTACAAAAAAAAAGGACATTTTTGTTTGTTTAGGATAGCTACCCAGGGAGTTTCCTTATGAAATTTCCATGTATATGTATTATAACCCGAATTGGTTCATTGCCTCCATTTTTCTTCTTTTCATCTTAGTCCCCTTCTTATGGTGATTTCAACAGATTTAAAAAGTCTATATTCATGCTTGTATAGAGAGTACATCAACCATATTCACCTTCTTAACTTCCTTCTTTTACCCTCCCTCTCTTATATGTGACCTTCCTTAGTGTGACCTGTTTTTCATAATATTGCTGTATTTGTATTAGGTCTATATTCCACATGTGAGAGAAACACAAGTAGCTTTTGGTCTTCTGACCTGGCTAACTTCACTTCAGATGATGTTCTCGATATCCATCCAATTACCTGCAAAAGACAATCACTTTTTGTTCTTTTTATTTTTAGTGGCACTGGGGTTTGAACTCAGGGCCTCCCACTTGCTAGGCAAGCACTCTTACTACTTGAGCCACTTCACCAACTCCTTTTTGGTTCTTTTTGAGAGATGGTCTCATTTTATGCCCAGGCTGGCCTGGACCACAATACTCCTATTTATACTTCTCTCCTAGCTTGGATGACAGGTGCGTGCTACCGTGTCCAGATTTTATTGGTTGAAATGGGGTTTTAAGAACTTTTTGCCTAGGCTGGCCTTGAACTATGATTCCCTTGATCTCTTCCTCCCGAGTAGCTAGGATTACAGGCTTGAGCCATGTGCTTGGTTCTAATTCTTGTATAATTCCTTTCTCCTCTTTTGCTGACTTCTACCTCCATTGCTGTTATATGATCTTTGATGACAGGAGCAGCAAATATGTCACTTCTGAAATGCCCAGACTGAATGTCCAGTCACTACAGGTGAAGGAGGCCCAGTCTTCCTAAGGAAGTCTCTCTACTCATTCATATTCTGCAAGTAAGAACACTTCTGTGGAATAGAGTTGGAGCCTTCCTGGGGATCACAATTAGAGTAAACTTGCTGTCCCTGTTGTATCTACTATCCCCATACAGGTAATTTTTCCTTTTAGCTTAGAATGATTAAGCCCTAGGAAAAGTACATACTGACCTGGTTTACATCTGAAATGTAGTTTTCCTGAACTCTGTTCCTAGCAGACTGGATTTCTTTTAGGGAGTCAGTAAGCCTAGATGACCCTTGATGGGACACCAAGCTTGTTATTGCTCATTGGCTAAAGCAATTTTTCCAATAAGATGAGACCCCAAATATTATCAAAGGGATCCTGTGAATTTTCCCAGTTGCTTCCTGAGGTTTGTGGGCACTGAACTTTAGTAAGATACTGGGACTGAGGCAATCAGAGCTAGTCTTGGGTCTCAAATGAAGATCTGGCTCACTAATAAGGATAGCTTCATTTTAAATCATCCAAGAACAATAAATATCTATGGGATACAGTCTACATACAGGACCAGGCTAACTACTTCTGGAGCCTATGAGTTGTGCTGAATAAATACAAAAATCACACACTGCCTCTGGGCTGAGCCACAGTGGATGTTCTGAGGGCAGCCTGTGAGCTCTGCACCACCTCCTATGAAAGCCTGAGCCCTGGGTATAGCTTTCTTCCTTTATCTCCTACCTACAACCACCAATGAAAATGATAGTTCACAAGCTTGCCTGTCTTAACAAATTCAAGAACAAGGAAAAAGACAGTACAGAAATGGGGTAGCTCAAGTGGTAGAGCACCTTCCTAGCAAGCGCAAGGCCCTGAATTGAACACCCAGTACTGCTCCTCCCAAATGGAGTAGCACTGTATAGAAGTTAATGAAAGCTAAGGGTGACCAGATGCTGAAAAGGAGAAATATAAACGTGTTTTCTGATGATGCTGTTTCTCCACTGCAGAAAAACTACAATGGAGAAATAGGGCACTGTGAATTGGTCTGATGATGACACTGTCAAAGGTAAAAATAGCAACAATTTGGAAAGCCAGTTCCAAGTTACTGAAGCTGCTAGGAAACTGCTTTCTAGGAAAAAACAGCCCCCCAACAGATAATATAATCTAGACTGGTTTTATTCCAAAACTTACCTCTTTTTTGGGCAGACCTGATTGTAATCCCACTTAATTTGAATCTGCTTGGGTATTCACTAACATTGCTTCTAGAATGTCAGAACAGACCAAGGCTGTTCATTACTCTGTTGGCATTTCCCATGATTAGATCAGTGAACAAGCTATATGGGCTCTAGGAAACATGGTGGGGGTTGGTTTAATTTTCTGAGCCTTGGTTTTCAAGTATGGGATACTTGATCTATTGTTAGTTTTTCTTGCAGCTCCTGATATATCATCTTCAGCATGTAGTTACTTGAATCTTGATAATTTCAGACATTTGCTGTAACAAGAATCCTGAAACTCCATTAGATTTTTTTATTTTTTGTGTGGTACTGGGGTTTGAACTCAGGGTAGGTGCTATACCACCGTTGTGCCATACCTCCAGTCCTTTTTGCTTGGTTATTTTGGAGATAGGGTCTTGCTTTTTTGCCCAGGCCTGCCTAGACTGTGATCTTCCTATTTTATGCTTATCTACCACCTCTAGAATGATGGGCACGTACCACCATGTTCAGCCTTTTTTTTTTTTTTCCTGTTGAGATGGGGTTTCACAAATTTTTTGACTAGGCTGGCCTCAAAGCACAATCCTCCCAATTTCAGCCTTGCAGGCAGCTAGGATAACAGCTATGAGCCACTGGTGCCTAGCTTAGATTTTTTTTTTGGTACTGCAGCTTGAATTCAGGGCCTCATGCTTGCTAGGCAGGTACTTTTATGACTTGAGCAATGTCTCCAGTTCCTATTAAATACTGTTGAGCAAATTTTTCCTATTTTAGTTTTGTATCATGCATCATGAAGAACCAGAGGCATTAGTAGATACCTGCTGAGCTGTTTCCTACCTTACTGATGGTCCAAACAAACACAACAAAATGGTTATGAACCAGGAGTTGTGCCCAAATTTGCAAAACTTCTAGGACATACTGAATTGCCAATTGTGACTCCCATGCTAAGAATCATAGAGAATACTATCACTGAAACATGTGAGCAGATTCACAAGATGCACAAGTACTTGACATATTTCCCAGTTTGCTAAACTTCAAACTAGTTATATGCAAAAGGAAACCACATGGACAACGTCAAACATCACAGCTGGTCATCAGGACCAGAAAGAGCAGGTTGTAAGTTGTGGATTAGTCCCATTCCTCTTTTGCATTCTTTCCCATCTAAATATTAATCAGGCCCAACCCTGCTTAGCTTTTAAGATCAGACAGGATTGGGTGCATTCAGAGTGGTATAGCCATAGACTCTTGACATTCTCCCTTACGCAGACTTTAAGATACAAAAAGAAGTTGTATGGGACATGGCTAACTATGTAAGTGGTGGAACAGTTGCACAGATTGTATACCTCATTGACTGTAGTATAGTAAAACCATTGAAAAACCTCTTAATTGTGAAAGATAACATTATCCTGGTTATTCTAATGCCATTTTAATTATCTTTCAGGCTGCTGAGAAACTTGGTGAAACTGAAAAATTTAATGATTGAAGAATGTTGGAGGCTTGGACAAAATTCAAACTCTAAAAAATCATGAAATGAGTCTGGATACAAGGCTTCATTAACCTTGATCAAGGAGTATTTCCCAGTAGAGGAAGAGAAAGATCCAAGGATGTACCTTCCAAGTTCAGGGACTCATAGGATCTTTAACTTTTAGACTGTACAGCTGAGGAATAAGTTGTTTGTTGTGTTGTATACTATGTTTAATGTAAGTTTGTCTTACTGTTTCTCTACTAAGAATTTTTTTTTTGATGGGACTAGGGTTTGAACTCAGGACTTTGTGCTTGCAAAGCAGGCACTCTAGCACTTGAGCAACACTGCTGGTCCATTTTGCTTTGGTTATTTTGGAGATGAGGTCTTGTGAACTATTTGCTGGCCTTGAACCTCAATCCTCCTGATCTCAGCTTCCCAAGTAGCTAGGATTACAGTCATGAGCCACTGGTGCCCGGCTAGAACTTGTTTTGGTGGTCCATGGGATTGAATTTAGGGCCTTTACCACTTGAGCTATTATCTCTAGTCCTTTTTGCTTTTAGTTTGTTTTTCAGATAGAGTTTCATGCTTTTATGCCCAGGCCAGTCTTGGACTGTGGTCCTCCTACATCTGCCTCCTGAGTAGTTAGGATTATAGGCATAAACCACCATATCCAGCTTGTTTTTGAGATAAGGTCTTGCTAACTTTTTTCCTGGCTAATTTTTAACTACCATTCTCCTTTCTCCATCTCCCTAGGAACTGGGATTACACATGTGTGTCACCATGCCTGGATTTCTTTTGAGACAGGGTCTCACTATGTAGCTCAGGTTGGCCTCAAACTCATGGTCCTGCTTTCATCTGTAGAGGGCCAGGATTACAGGCAAGCACCACTAGCTTAAGAATTCTTTTTAAATGTGGCTTGTTGTTATAGCTATTTTTACAGTGAAACTATACTTAGACAGTTTCAAACTATACATGCTACATGAAGCTCGTTCTCTGAATGGGTTTACTTATTTCTATGTGGAATGTCATATCTTGCAGAGACCTGTAAATAAGAAGTAAATTTCACCCTTTTTTTATTCCAAAAAAAGAACACTAATGCAACTGCTTAACTGTTGTCACTAGGTCTATGCTCAGTCATTCCTTCTGCTCTGTTTATATTTCAGATCAGATTTCTGGGAAATGGTAGAGAAAAATTGCTATTGTCATCTTGGGTCAGAGAAGTGACTTCCTACGACAGTCTTTCCATAGCTAAAATTAGTGCTTTCACAGGGTCCCAGGAGCCAAGTTGACTATCCAATAGTTCTCATCCTAGCTATATTAGCTACAGTACAGCCATGAGGGAAAATACTCATCTTAGATGATAAACCCTAAGAGACAGTCCTACTGTTGAGGTCAGGGGTATACTGATGTCATTGGCTAAGATGAACCATAATGGAGATTCCAGGTATTGGAGGCAGAAGTTGGAAGGTACCTACATGAGACATTCTTAGACCCTAGTCACTTCCTGAAGGAAATTGGTTCATTTGGTAAGAGAATTACCCTACCTTCTTGGTAGCTACAATGATACAGCAGACTAAAACAGAATTAAAGGTGGCAGCCAGTCTAGTTAAACAATGCCAAATGCATTCTGTTGACTAATCAGTCTTTTGGAAAAATGTGTTCAGTAAAACAGGCTAAAAGAAAAAGAAACTAAAAGTTTTAAGTGAATTATATGTATAACATATAAGTCCTTGTAACCACCTGACAGACTCACCCGAAGGAAGAAAGGAAACTTCCTGCCATAGAAGCCGACCCGGAAGAACTCAGGCTCTAGGCGTTGCTGCTCTATAATGTTGTCATAGTAGCTGGCCTCCATTTTCTGTGAACAAGAAAGGTGACTGCCTTCAGGTTGGCTTGACTGTAATTGGTATCCAAAGCAAGTTCTCCTAGGCCCAAATGGACACTGTCTTCTGGAAAGAGATCATGGCAATTCCATCCAGATAAGAAGAAAGTGGGCCCCTAGCCCTGACCAGTTCTCTCTAAGGAACTGAATCACAGAAGATGCAGATCCTTCTTCACAGCCATCTGATGGTGGGATGGGGACAGATCTGCCCACTAAAGCCCTATGCAGCTGTTCTTAATGTCCTCTCAGGGCATAGGCACAGACTCATGGAGACCTGGGTTTCTTGCACTTGAGAGGCGCATATTTAACATTAACTTTTTATGTCCATGTATTTCTAGTTTTGACTGACACTATACCATTTGACCCCTGACTGGGATTACTTGTAGCTGGCTACCAACATTTTTCAGTACCATTTCACATCAGTACAATTGTATCCACTCTTGTTCATCTGACTAAAGATGCTAACCACAGTGAATAAGGCTCAGCTGTTAGCACCACTGGTACTGGTTTCAATTTAGCAGTTTTAAACTTTAAAAGTTAACTAATATTACTGGTAAGATTTTTCAGTCTGGCTGACCTGGATTCATATTTAGAAAAAGCTGGCTGAAACTTTGGGAAAATAGTTCTAATGAATTCAGCCTAGCAGGAAGCAGTGGCCTTCAAATATCAGTTAAGAAACTACTTGTAAGGAGCCATGCCCTAGCCCCAATCTGGACAAGGGGATGGAGAAGAATTAATTAGTCACAGAATGAGGATGCAGGGGATAGTTGGCTGAGACTGCTACTCTCTTTTTGCTGATGAAACCAGTGGGGTTATGATTCAGAAGTTAGCACCAGCAATCCAGAAAAATTTCATATAGACCTATGAAGTCTACAAGGTATTTGACTTAACTTTTGAATATTATGCTTCAAAGAAAGGAGGAAAGACAAATTACTTAAAAGTACAACTCAAGGTGGGGAAAGATCTTATAATGAAGTCTTTAGCTGAAGCATCCTTGCACAAAACCATTTCAAGAAAAGCTTCTTCAGGACACTGGGATGCCTTTTTCCTGAATATCCCATCCTATTATGCTTGTGCTAGGCTTCTCCCCTCCCTGAACAACAGTGGCCCTTGGCTTCCAGATCATAAAATCATTTGTCAGGTGTTTGTTTTGGTTTCCCAGTCAGACTGCAAGTACCTTGAGGGTAGGAATATTGGCATCTATAGTCCATGGCACTAACCCAAAGGCTGTATGTCTCACTCAGAAATTTTGGTCAGGGCTGGGGTGGAGGAAGGGGCAAAGCTCACCCGAATCCAGCTGAGGCTCTGATAATCATAGAGGTTCTCATACTGACATGCCAGCTCCCTGCATAGTGGGATTCCAAATTCCCAGCTCTGCATCAGAAATAAGAATAGGTCTTTAGCACTTCAGGCATCCTCAGGGTTGCCTAAGCCCCCATTGAACACATCAGAAAATTTAACAGAAGGCCTCCTGCTAATTCCATCTCATGTATCACAGGGAACATATACTTCAAAACCAATTTATGGACTATGACACACAGCACTGTGGCTTTCTAGCTCAAGCACAGGTTTCTGGTATCTGCTTAGGCCTTTCTGACTACCTTTTTAAGAACAGGTACATTTCGGGTGTGTTATTTTTTAAAAATTACTTACTTTTTGTTGGATTAGTCTTGATTAGTTGACAAACTGCACTAGGACAGATACTTTGCTTATTTACTTTATGCTCAGACTCTAGAACAATGCTAGGTATGGCAGGTAATCAGTATTTATTTAATGAATTAATAAGGGGAGCAATGATCTTTAAATTAGCATCATTTAAATTCAGAAATGAGTATGGAAATCATGAAGAAAGGAGCTACCAAGGACTTGGTAGTATGCCTGACAACTTCCTTTATGACTAGAACTTAAATTAGGCTTCAGATGATCATTGCCTAGCCAAATCTCAGGCTATTTTGCGACGTGGCTCCCATTATAGAAAAAGGCCCATAAAATAGGTGCCTGAGGGAGACTGCATTGGAATTTATTAAGACAACATTGTCCATTTCCTCCTTTTTTGATGATGCTAAGTTCTAATTTCAGGTCTCTGTGCATGTAGGAAAGTACTCTACTACTGAACTATATCTCTATCTTCCTTCCTTCTTAATATAATATTTTTTCTCTCTTGGTTAAATTGGGAATCATCAGTTTACTTAATATTTTACCCAGGATCTTCTCCCCAACTTCTAAATACACATTAAATTTTATTTTAGGAAATGTCACATATATGTAAAAGTAGAGGGCATAGAAGAATGAACCCCTAGGTAGCCATCATCCAGTCTCAGTAATGACCAACTCAAGACCAATCATGCAGCATTCATACCCTATCCATTTATTCCTCCCATGGTTTCTGAAGCAAATCTCAAATATATAATTCTACCAATAAACACTGCAGTATGATCCTTAATAAGGACTATTTAAAAATATTATTTGAAATAATATCAGGGAGAAAGAAAACACTTTCCTTTGAGATTGTATTTTTATAAAAGAGCATATTATTTTGATATTGGAGAAATCAATGCCATATGGACTGAAATTGTAGGACCAATTAAAAAGGCAAATAAACCAAAGGGATTTTTTTTAAGTACACTTTGGTTCTTTGCCCCAATATAATGCCACCTCCTCAGTAGGCCAGGAAACATCTTGTACTACAGTATCACAGCATTAAAGGGAGCACATGTTAGTCCTCCCTCAAATTCCAAGTTCTGCTTGGATAAGATGCAGCCAAGGAACCATAACATGACTAGCCATGGGGGTGGCTAAGCAGATGAACAGTGTACAGACTTTTGGCCAGCCTGTCAAGAGCCACCATGGGGGATGTCTCACTTAGGTGATGAGGATCCCACCTGGGGCTAAAGGCACTCTGCCTGCTGACAGAAGTTCCCAATAAAACAGGTCTTCTCTACTGGATCAATGTTCACCTGTTTTGTTGATATCTCTGCCCTAATTTGTAACCCTGCTGTTCTAAGGCACTTCCCTCTCTCAATGTCTTTAGTGTGGCAAGACCAAGTGTTTTAAAGACACTCTGCCAGCCTTGAGGGGTGTATTAGAACACTGGTGGATGTGAGGACTTTGAGAATTGTCTCTGGACACAGGTAGGGAATGCTTTGCAGGTGTAATGCATCCTCAACTACATCTTTTCCCTTGGCTTCTCTCTCTCTCTCTCTCTCTCTCTCTCTCTCTCTCTCTCTCTCTCTCGGCAATACTGGAACTTGAACTCAGGCATTTTACTACTTGAGTCACTCTGCCAGCCCTAGTTTCTCTCCTTTACGCAGGAGGAAAAGCTTTAACTCCTTATCAGTGCCTGAAATCCAATCACTTCTACCAGCTCTGGCAAATGTGTGTTTTAACACATCTTTGTCATCCCCTCTCAGAAATGGCACAAAAACTGCACTGAACTAGGACTCTGTTTAGTCCAAAAACATGAGAACGGAAAGGCTTCAGTCTCATTCTGGTAGTTTACTTCTGTTTACACATATCAGAAGTAACAGTCATTCCTTCAGAGGAGTGCGGGCCATAAGTGAACACTCAAGCAGGACAGCCCCTGTCCTTCTGCAGAGATACCTGGCCTAAGGCCTGATGATCTGTATGCTAGATGAACAGGGGCCAGAGGCCTCTGCCCGGATTCTTCTCTTCTTTGTTCTCTCTGCCTGGGGATGAAGAACAAGCCCCCATCTTCACACCTCCTCTTCCTTCTCTCAACTTTCACTCTGCCAAGCCCTGTCTCTGAAGTTTCCCTCTCTCCTTGTCTGGCACAGGAGAGCTAATCCTCTGTGGAGCATCAAGGACCTGGGGCAGGTTCCTAGGTTAACTATCCCACTCATGGAGAGAATGTTCAGAAGAGGTCATGGCTATGAGTCTCTTGGGTACCCAGGAAATAAACATGGGACCCAAGGACTCCTATGCCTATTTAAGGCTTATTTAAGGCAGACAGCAGAAATACTGGGAGTGTGTGGAAGAAAAGTCAGGAGGGGCCTGGTTTATGGGGCAGGGTATACTGGCAGTGCTAAAGGCTAGACCTCTTTTTATCTATCCTTCCTTCTGGGTCTCTTCCTTTTCTCCTCTCCTTCAGTTGCCAAGATGGATTTTCTCCTGATGCCAAACATCTCTGCCCCACAAAAACTGTTTTTTTTTCTGTAGTAGGTTTTGCTTTTCATTAAAAACAACAACAACAACAACAACAACAACAAAACCCTGAATAGCCTTACTTCCTGATTCCATCAGGAGCTGAGGCATAGGAACACAGAAGGTGTTCCTTCTGGACCTTCTGGATAAACCTAAGAGAGTAGACCTGATAAATGCACCTTGGAGGATGAGCTCATCAAAGGGCTCATTGAGCAACCTGCAGCTGAGGTAGAGTTGCTGAAAGATATCAGAGAAGGTAGCCTGTGAAGCCTACTGGTCCTTCTCCCCTTCTTGCCCATCTAAAATACTATCAGATTTTACACTCTATTCCCTAGTCCATGTCAAGGCTTAATCCTGATTTCCTATGTACTACTATAATGTGGGATAAAGAGGAGGTCATTTCTGCTCACATTGTCCCACCAGTAAACTCAATCAGATCAGGATTACTCTCTACTCTGCTCTTTCTGTCCCTGGAAAGATAGAGAACTTAATACTAAAGCCACTCATGCACATTAATAACATGTTTATGTCCTTCTCTCTGGGTGGGGAGGGCATGTTGGGCCTATGGGTAGTGGCATCTCCAGGTCGACTGATGCCAGGAAGACAGGCCTAAAACCATGCTAGTGAGGGTTCCTAAGTCAGGCCCTGGACCAGCAGAGGAGGAGCTCTGGGTCAATATTGAGTGGCTGAGAGCAGATCAAGGGTCTTCCTTCTGGGTTAGGTTACATGAGAGCTTCTGTGGTTTTGGAAAGGTTCTTGCTTCACTAGAGCATCTTCTGCATAGGTGAATGTTCTCTGTTTTCTGAGTGAAAATTTCTGAGAAATACAAAAGTTCCTCTTGTCATGTAAAAAGGGAGAATGTGTTCTGATTTATGGGTAAAAGACTAAGTAATGTTTAAATCTTTCTTATTGATGATGAAAAAACTCATTTCAAAACACCAGTTTCTGAAAATATCACAAAGAAACCCCTTTTATACAATTAATATATGCTAATAAAAAGAAAAATAAATAAAATACCAGTTTCTATTTGTTTGAGTCAGGGGTTCAGCCACTACAGTTTTGTGAGTAATCCTATTTTAAAATGTGTTCAAAGATGATAAAGATGATTAATGAGACAACAGCCTTTTTTTTTTTTTGTGGTACTGGGGTTTGAACTTGGCCTCACACTTGCTAAGCAGGTACTCTACAACTTGAGCCATGCCCCAACCCCTGAGAGAACAGCTTTAATAAGTTAGATATCCCCAGCCTTCCCAGTGCATGGGTCACATACAATAGTAGGGTGCTCAGAGGGTCCCAGGAGGAGCTCTCTCAGAGGTCAAGAGGTCCTAAGGAAGCCTTAGCAAGTACTTCCCACAGAAGTGAGCTTGATTTAGAATAACCACAACATGAGAGAAGCCCAGGCTAGGCTGTAGATAGGAGAAATCCAAAACAAGAATCTGTATCAGTAAGAGGCAGTGTAGTCCTCCTTTGGCTAGGATTACAATCCATTTTTACCACTTACATTTTCTATAGCAGTAGATTAGAAAGTCACATTAATTAAGTTAATCAAATACAGACAGGGCCCAGAAGCCCCTGCTATAGGAACATAAGCATTTATCATTTATAGATATGCAAAGCTGTCATGTGGGGTTTTCTCTTACTCCTCTAATCTCTAATCAGCTTCCAAGCCACAGAATTAAGCTGTTTTTTTTTAACACCCAGGCAAAATTATGCTGCCTCCAAATCTGATGCTTATACATGGGTACCTACTCACTCAATGCCCAACACACCACCTTTTGCAGCTGCTGCCAACCCTACAGTGTCAAGATGTCTTGTGGCACAGCAAAAACTGAAGGGTGAAAGGCTTGCCTATTATACCTACCTTGCCTTTGTTGAAGTAGTGAATGATCTTCCGGCACAGTCCCTCTTTCCGCTGCCACTCTGTCTGAGATGGGTAGTGCAGGAACTCCCGTAATGGCCGGTCTTCCCACTGAAGCAGCTCACAGTAAAGGAGCAGGGTAAAAGCAGCCTCTGTGGGGATAGGTAGCATGGAGGCCCAGGGCTTCCTTTCAAGGGTCCAAAAGCAGCCTGGTGCCAGGGGTCCATGCTGAGCAGGATATAAGGGCAAGGCATACACAGCCCAGGTCAGGGACACTGGATACTAAAGGTGAGACAGTAGGGTTGCCCAGCAAGCCAGTAACAATTGTCCACAGCATGAAGAGTCACAGATCCTGGCAGATACCTTCATCTCAGGGCCTGGTCACCTGTTCTGATTCCAGATAAAGACTAAAGAATGGCTTAACTACATAACGGTTTGTGTACAGGTTGTCTCCTTTTGAGAGACACTGACTCTTCAGAGAGAGCTCTTGCATTACTTTTTGCTCAATTTTCTCTAGCTTCCTTTCCAATATTCTCAGAACTGGCCCTCATGGGTGAGCACCAACCAAGCCTTCCTTTAGCTCCCCCCCCCAATACCACCCTCAATGCTTTGAGCTCTATTTTCTGTCCTTAGCACTGTCCTGGAACAACCCTTTCCCCTCATTTCTACTGTTTCTAAAAGGACCAAACAGGAGTGTGAATAGTAGCAACAATGTGATGGGCCTGGAGCCTGGAGCCAGAGGCTCCATTTCTGGAGAAACCTAAGTTGATACTGGACTCAGAGTGAAGGCCTGGCAATATCTTACTTTACATGTGAAACAATTAGTGAAGGTTTTATAAAAACACAGCAGCTTGTTATCTAAATTCTAAGAGATGAGTCACATTGAATTACTGCCATCTCTCAGGGTTCTCGTTACTATTCTATTTGCTAATTTTTAGTGGGCATTTCTTATTGGCATGTTAATTCGTTCTAGCTCTGCCTTGTTTTCAAAACCATACTTAAAAATGCTTTCAATGATTATGAAGAATCTCATTTCTAATTATTTTGTGACCCACTTCCAGTTTTAGCCAGATCTAGTTGTCTGTGACCACTCTCTAGATCCCTTCTCATTCTTGCCCAGGGATACACACACTTCTTCACTGGGTCTAGGAAGCCTTTTCTCTTTGGGGGCAAAATAGTCTTCTTTCTGTGGCACTCAGGGTCTCCTTTTGGATCTCAGGAAACCATGATAAATCTTTTTACCCTGTTTATATTATTTTTAGATTTCATTTCTGGAACTATCAAAAGCAAGGCTTAGCACCCTTCTCTGTTCAGATCCTTGATTCAGCTTCTAGGAGTTTAGAAAATACCTGCTATGACACATGGAATTTATCAAAACCTTTTTCTTTTATTGCCCTCTCACAGAGCTGTTGGATCATGGGTGGAAGTGGATGACAAATTCAGCCATGTCATGTCATTTCACTTCATTTTTTTAAAGACAGGATCTTGCTATGTAGTCCAGGCTGACCTCAAACTTGTGATTCTGCTGACTCAGCCTTCAGAGTACAGCCCAGTCATTTTAGATACACTTCTTGGCAAGATGTGCTATCAGAAAAAGATGTGCTACCTATACTGAATCCTCTCTAACATCTAGCAATAAGGAAGGAGGGTTCATTGTTTTTATAAATCCATCTAATTCTAGTAACATGTGCAGACAATAGCACAAATTTCCTCATCTATCATACAAATTCAAGTCCTATAGCCTAAGTGCTAGGACAGAGCTTGGTTTCCACAGTGGAAAAAAAATGGCTATTTTGGGAAAATAATGGGACCAGACAGAACACAAGTACATGTACACATTCCTGATTCAGAGTGACTCTTGGTTAAAAAAAGGTATGACAGGAACCTTTTTTTTTTTTGTGGTACTGGGGCTTGAACTCAGAGCCTACACCTTGAGTCACTCCACCAGCCCTTTTTTTGTGATGGGTTTTTTTGAGATAGGGTCTTGCAAACTATTTGCCTGGGCTGGCTTCGAACTGTGATCCTCCTGATCTCTGCTTCCTGAGTAGCTAGGATTACAGGTGTGAGCCACCAGCGCCTGGCCATGACAGGCACTTTGGACTGAATTGTAGACATAAAGAAAGAGCCCCCATCTGGCCTGTCAAGAAGTCATTTGAGATGGGGGTATGGCTCAAGTGGTAGAGCACCTGCTTAGCAAGCAAAAGACCACAAAGAAAGAGTATTTTCCAAGGAGTCAGGCCAATACTTCCATGTGCTCCACTGGGCACTTAATGTGGGGCTGCTGTGCAGTAGCTGGAGAGAACTTAAGTCCAAGGCAGATACGCCAGGGAGTTCTGAAGTTCCAGGATTAGGAGATATTCCTTTGTTATAGTCTTGCTTAGCTCCAGCTTTTGTAGGGCCTAACAAAGGCTCTGTCCATGAGGAGTGACACTGAACTCAGGATGCTCTGAATCTGGTGTACCAAAATTTGGTGCACCCTTGAGTCTTCAGAGTGGTGGATAGGAGGGAAGGAGACTGAATAGCCTCCTTCATTGATGAATGCCATTGAACTAGGTCTGCTTGCTTTTTCTTCACCAGGTGCTACAAAGGAGTTGAGGGAAAGGAATGCCTGTCATATCTCCACCACTACTGAGATATGACAGGCACTAGCCTGGAGCCTTTCTCTGTTAGCTGTGCCTATCTACCAGTCTGTCCTTGAGAACAGGCATGGCTCTCCCCCTTCCCCACTCACCTGTGTAGTTTTCAGCCTGTAAGTGCATGTCACAAAGCTTATGGATGTATCGGATATACATTTCTTCTTTGTTAATCTCAGATTTGTAAAAGTTCTGTGTGAGACATAAATACACACACTGTGAGAGTGTCTGCCACCTGGGGAGGCCATAACTGAGCTCCAGCCAACCAGCCAAAGTACTGGCTGTGCTGGACAGGATGGGGAGGGCATATCCTGGAAGCAGAGAGCACCAGAAAAAGAAAGGACCAGCCAGAAGGCACAATTTCTAGGGGGATAGAACCACTGAAAGGTCTATGGGAGTCCTGAGTGGAATGAAAGAAGAACTGTACCAGAGAAGATTGGGGATCAAGGGAGACTGTGAATCAGGGTATATCAGGGTAACCAAGAGGTCAGGCTAGAACTCTGTCCAAAGAAAAGCTCATTTCATTCCTTCTGCAAATGGGAATGCATCTGATAAGGTTCAGGACTCCAAGATTCCAGGAACAAAGTTAAGTCTTGACTCAAATTTTTAGGTCATGTAGCCATGTACTGTAGAAAGGACAAACCAATCACGGTGCAGGATGGAAACTATCTCATCAGGCAGACAGAAGGAAGAGCCTATGTCCTCTTACCATGAGGTTAACAGTGCAGCCTATCTTCTTGTTCTCGGTTTCCTCTCCTTTCATGCAGTCCCTGGGAGGGAGAACACAGAGGAGTGTACATAATATGAAGTGGTGAGCCTGAGGCAAAACACAGAACTGCAGTATCACTGGGGCATTAGTATGACAAAAATTCAGATCAGGATACCCTCAACAGAAAGTGCTTCCATGGTTAAGGGCCGTATTGTGAGCTCCCTCTAAGTTTTGTACCCACTCCTGGTGCTCAAAGATCTCTGTTCTACCAAGCTCCTTGTTATAGTGGCAGAATGCAGAGACCAGGGGCTACATCAGGGTATTACATGACACATACTAATGTTCTTAGCACAGAGGGACATGTCAGTAAAGCGGAAGGCCAAATCCAAGTTCCTCAAAAAGCACAGAGTTCTTCATAAAGGGCAAGTTTCATTTTGTGGGAAAGTGTTGAACAGAAGATAAGACTCTTTACTCAAGGACCGAGCTTTACTCAAGGACTATTGCTTTGGAGCTGTGTTTAAACTCTTTATTGTTCCTACCTAGTACTCATCACCTTCTTTTTGGCTCCTAAAACACACCCTTAGCCATCATCTGAACTTTTCAGCCTGAATAACTGAGGCTGCAGTGGTCATTTCATTGTTACTTTTGGATGAATTCAAAGACCATGATATGACTAGAAAGGCAGGGTTTCATGTAAAAAATTCTAATTCCACATGAACTCTCAGACTGAACATAATATTGAACTCTGAGCTCACAGACTGTTTCCTCTAATCTATTCACAAGTGGGATCAGGGGGCAGAAGTAAACTTTAAGCAAGGAATGTAGGCATGAAAAAAAGGAGTGTCCCAGTATCTGAAAAAGAACATGAAAGTCCTTCTTGGTCACATATTTTGGTACTAGGTGATATTTCCTTGCTTATCTTATGGCTCTGATGAAGGCCTGCACTAAGGGACTACAGAAGTTCCCTGCCTTGCTCTGGAGGTAGTTTTTCTTTCTTGCTATGCCCATTCCTCTGAGTCTTGACCTTTCTGGATAGAAGACCAGAGGGCTGCATGTCCCTGGGATGCCTCATGAATACCCACATCTTGCGGGGATCCCAGGAAGCCCTAGCCTACTCCTGAGAAAAGGTGTGCTATTCCTGGTCATCAGCGTATTCTTAATGACTGGTGATGGTACCCAGCACCAGAATAGTCTTCCCCATGAAGGGCACATGATCTCATTATGTAGTTCAGGCTGGCCTTGAACTTGTGATCTTCCTGCCTCAGCCTTCTCCATGATGGGATTAGAGGCATGTGCCATGCCTGGCTCTCACATGGTCTTAGTTTTAAGGTCAAGGGAATACCTTTGCAGGAGAGAGAATTCTAGTAGATAAGAGGCTGGATAGGTGATTGAGAAAATACCTGTAGTCAAGAAGGCGTTCCATGAGGCGAGTGACTGAGGTAACAAAGGAAATGCCAGTCTCACGCCATGTTTCCTGTTCAACCTTCTCCAGCAGGCTATTGGTGCAGGAATAGAGGAAGCAAACAAAATTCATGAGCCTTCTTTAGGCACAAGAGCAAGGTCTAAGAGCCCTTGGCGGCTGTGATGAATCTGAGACAGCAGACTTACCACACTGCAGTCTTACCTGGGGTAGGGCCCAAACAGCTGGGTTCTACTCCATGCAGCAGAAAGTAAAGACAAGGAGGTTACTGGAGTGGCAGCAATAAAAATGTCTCCCATTTCCCTATACATGATCCTAAGGACACCACTGAGGTGGAAGTAAAGGAGGGGCTCAAAGGCCCCTTAGGCATATACTCAGGCCTATTCTCAAGGAGCAGCTGAGAAAGATAAGAGACCATGGAGGGATATGTCTGGCTTTGCCAATTGGATGACTGCCTCTATTGCCCAGAATGAGCCTCATCAAACATACAAACCAACTTCTTCATATGAATCAAAGGAAGGTTATCTACCAGCCTCCATGGCTCAGTATAAGCTGAGAGCAAGTCCAGGAGCCACACTCAGTCATCCTCACTGTCTGAGGATGTTAACAAAAAAAGTGTGCCAGAGTCACTAACTCAATGCCCAGCTCATATTAATTATTAATTTACAGTCCCATGTTCCTGTAATCTTAGGGTAGACTCTGCGGGGATTCTCCAAAATGCCTAGCTTTTGAGATCTTCTGACATCTCACAGGTCTGTCTGTTCTAGAGGATGATTACCTGAACTTTTTCTGCTTCCTCCAGTAATGATATCAGGTGTAGGTCTTTCACCACACAACTCTATTCCTAATTCCTTTGCATGTTGTTTCTTGGTCTCTAAAGTTGTAAGAGTCATCTGGAGTGATTAGCCCAACTGGCAGCCAGCACTGGGGAGTCAAAACCATAGCCTGGCTGTTGTTAATGCTTCTGTTATAACAACTGTCTCCCTACACAGAGCATTTGCCTGGGCCAAGGTATCAGAGAAAGGGAGGGTTTCCCTTGTGATCCATGTTGCTGGAGAGAGAAAGCAAGATCACAACTCTGGTCTCTGAGTTGTGTGGATAATGTCATTGCAGTAGCATTTCTCAAACTGTTGTATAGAACTCTGCTGTCCTGGATGACAAGGTAAGGTGTTCTGTGAGTACACAAGCCTGGGAAATGCTGAGTATATCCTTATTTTGAAGATTTTTATACCCTTTTGTACATTAAAGGCTTTGAGAAATCCTTCAATACAAAGACTTGATAAATTTTAACTGAATCTTTTAAAATTAATGAGCTTATGATTAAGTTTTTTTTCAGCAGATCTACAAACATCTTCCCAAAATGCAAATTAGGAAATGCTGCTCCATGTTGTTAGTGGCTCTCAGTTCTCAGTCTGAATATAGTAGGATTTACAAATGTTATTTGGTCAATTAATTAGTAATTTTTTTAAAGCTATTTTTCCCTTTGCATTAAAGAAATTTGCTAGTGGCCAAGGAAGAGATTTCTCTGCCTTGTTTCCACAATTAGAAACATTTTCATTTGCTAGAGGCTTGGCTCCAGTGGTACAGTGGTCTGCCTAGCATGCACAAGACTCTGAGATCAAATCCCAGACCACTACAGAATGGATTCATTTTCATAAATTATAGTTATTTAAGAATCAAATAAATTAAATAAAAATTTAAATGTAAAATATGACTCATAAAACAACAGAACAGGCATGAAAGAATCCCCCCTCTTGAAACTGAAAGATCTGGGTTACCTTTTACTGGTTAGATAAGGGAGAGCAGTCCCATCACCTCTAAAGCGGAAAGGAGGACAATCTCCATCCCACCCCTCATGCCTTTAGAGGCATGTTGTGAGGATCAAATAAGATGGGGAATGTTAATACATTATTTATTTATTTATTTATTTTTGAGGTATTAGGGTTTGAACTCAGGGCTTCACGCTTTTTAGGCAGGTGTGCCACCACTTGAGTCACTCCACCAGCCTGGTTAATACCTTTTGTACATGGTGAAGTTTTAAGTAAACATTCAGTATTATATACTGGAAAAATACTTTAATGAACTGTCTCCAAAATGATACTAAAACACAGAAAATCGGGTACTCTAGAGTTTAAGATTCTCCTTTTTAGGGTGATAAAAGAGCAACATCACTCTATATGGGTGGGCCACAATTTCTCTGAGTCCCCTCTTTGGCCTTAGTCTTGTGGCAAATCCTGTAAGGTCTGTTGGCCTCCATTAACTCAAGACAGGAATGGTGGGCCTGGGGGAGTCTTGATACAATTCCATACAACTACCTCATTTCTCAGCTGAAAAACTGCCTGGAGAGGGGGTGTGGCTTATTCAAGAGCCCATTGTAGTTTTGAAGTTAACTGCAATGTCTTACAAAGCAGGGCAAATAGGATCCCCTCTTTTATTTATTTATTTTTATTGTTGTGCTGGGGGTACGTTGTGACATTTACAAATGTTCTTAAAATATATTATTCTCTTTTATCCCTCCTCCCTCATTCCTAGAATAGTTTCAAGTCTCATTTTTCCATTTTCATACATGAGTACATAATATTTCTACCATATTCACCCTCCTACACTCTTTCCTTATATCCTCCCCACTCCTGTGAGGGGAGCAAATAATAGAAGTGACTTTGTCTTAGATAAGTGAAACAGGAAGGTTTCATCTAAAGAGACACCAGAGAAGCAAGATAGCAAAAGGCATCTATAAAGTGTTAATGGTGGGCCTCAAGGCCAGGGCGAGCTGACCATACCCTCCTGGAATGTCCAGTTTGATAAGATGGGGGGTGACCAGGTGGTTAATTCAGCTGAAAGTCAACTAGATGACATCCCATCCCACATGTAGTTTCAAGGTATAATGGGTGGACCTAAGTCAGGCAGAGCCCTGTATCATCTCCTAGACTTCAGTCATTCTTTGGCTATTGTTTTTTTTTACTATGCCCCTCCTGTGCAGGGAACTTTGCTTTCCTTTCAATACACTTTGCATTTGCTTTAATCTTAACTCCTGGTCCAGCATCTTCAATCATCAACTTTGCCAGCACATGAACTCAGGATCAGCAATCCAGTTTTACTGGTACCCACTGGTACCAACCCCCAGACCAGACCTGTTTTACTTTCCTGTTCTTCATTTTTGAAAAAAGACATTTTTGTTTGTGATAGTTATATAGAGAGTTTTATTGTGACACATATATATAATTATTAATGTATTAATACATTATATATATATTTATATGGAACCCCTCTTTTAGAAGAGAATCTTCCACTCCTGGAAATGCCAGTATTCAGTCCTAAACCGACTGACTTCTCATGAGCTGTTTGCCCAACTTGACATAGTGCATGCTATGAAGATAAACAATGACCTTCTTCCTGTCAGAAAATCTAGGAGTTAGTTAGTACTTGTCTCTTCATAGCTCTTCAGTCAATCATGACAATCCATGAGAGAGTTTGCTTCCTTATTTATTTATTTATTTAATTGATTTATTGGTGTGACTGAGGTTTGAACTAGGGTTCTTGCTTGCAAAGCAGGCACTCTACTGCTTGAGACATACCTCCAGTCATGGCTTTCTTACTGACAGAAGGTGAGCACTGATACCACCAGGAACAACCATTTCTCCTGATACCCAACCCAACCTCTGAAGCATGCCCAGTATAGGTTTCACCTTTGCCCTTCACTGGTCTACTTCATTCCCTCCCCAAATGTGGGACCCCTGGGGCGGGGGCAGCTTACAGCAGGCTGAAGAGCTCCCTGTAGCTCTCATCACCTTTCCCTTCTGACACCATGCTGTCCAGCTTATCAATCAGCTCAGCCTCCACCTAAAAGAAAGCAGATTTCATACATTCAAACCGAACTCTGAGAGAGAATGAGAAATTATCAGTCCCCTTGCTGGGTGAGGATGGTGGGAAACCACTTTTCACATTCTTTTTATTAGCATATATAAATTATACAGAGAGGTTTCATTGTAATATTTACATATGTGCTTGCAACGTATCTTAACAGATTCACCCCTCCCATCATTCTTCCTCTTTCTCCCATTCCCTCCTTAGAACATTTTCAACAGGTTTCATTATTCTATTTTCATAGACACATACAAAGTACATTTACCATTTCACCCTGTTTACTCTCTCCCCTCCCCCTGGTATCCTCCTTGACAGGACCTGTTTTACGTTCCTGTCCTTCATTTCTTTAAGTTAATACGATTGTCAAAGGGGTTTTGCCTTGGTGTTTCACATGCATATATATCATACTTTAATCAGATCAACTCCCTCTATTACTTACTCTTTCTCTATTTCCCTGCTCCCCCGATTACTCAACAGCTTGCTTTTGACATTTTTGACCTTGCTCCAAATAAATTTCAGGGAAGACAGGATCTCATCTAGAGCATTAAGAAACTACCTTGCCTTCCCCAATTAGGAAGGTCTCCCAACAAAATTGTTTTGGATCTAAAAGAGGCCTTTGCCTGTCTGTCTCTACCTCCCTCTTTTCATTTCTTCCTTTCTTTTTATCTCTCCTGTCTTCTCCCCTTCCTTCCTTTTTTTTTTTTGTGGTGCTAAGGATTGAACCAAGGACCTTGCACATGCTAGGTAAGCACTCTACCACTGAACTACAATCCTAACCCTATTTTTTTTTTTTGAGACAGGATCTCCTTATGTAGGCTAGGCTGAGCTTGAGTTTGTGATTCTCCTGCCTCAGCCTCCTAAATGCTGGGATTACAGGCATGCATGACCATGACCAGCCACTGCCACTTTTCTAATAGGCCTCACTGACCTGAGGCAAGAAATCAGTGGTAAGTGATGTCAAACAAACCTTTTTATCCTTCATTAGCCTTTAAAATGTGATATGATGATGTTATTTATACAGATATTTCATATAAACGAACAGACAACAAAAACTCTGGCATGGCTGTATCAAATAATGTGATACAACGGAAGCATTTTCTCATTCCATATATGACCAAAGAATCCTAAGAAAGATAAATAACAAAAGAATAATTAACAGTAAATTCACTGAACTCAATTAGGGCCTGTGACATTTCGTTAGCAAAAATGAGAATGGATGAATAAATATTATCATCCACCCCCTTTTTTAAATAGTGGCCTGTTACATGGTCAGGGCTGGAACTGTCTACACTAATTATGTGGCTTGAGGAATCAACTACTTAAACACACACTTCAGAGGAAACAGAAAGTTTGAGAACTGGGGCCCTTTGGGATCAATGCCATCTTGCTCTCTCTGTATAGAGAATAGGCTCTGCAGGAACTTGTCTGGGGCCATATAAAGAGCTAAAGTCAGGTAGATATGGTCTAGAAGTTAAGGTGTCTCACTCCCAGTTCACTGCATGTCTTATCTTGTTGGCTACAAGCTTCCCAAGGAAATGGCCTGATGATAACAAAGGATTTCTCTTACATGAGGTACAGGTAAATTATACTTCCTAGAACACAGCCAAGGTGGGGAGGAAACCCAGAGCAGCAGAGAGTACAAAGAGTACAAACAGGGTAGAGCAGTCCATTGGTGTACAAAGGGTTTTCAAAATGGGTCTCTGGGCCAGTAGCCTTGGATTTTATGTTAAAAGTAGAAATACTCAGACTTCTTCAAGCCTAATGGATCAGAAACTCAGGCTGAGGATATGGAAGTCCATAATCTGTGTTTTAATAAGCCCTCCAGGCACTTCTGATGCCTATCTAAGTGTTAAAAAACTTTTGCATTAGGAAAAAGAAATGATGATGGAATGATGTGGAGACATTACTTTATTACCTCTGTAGAGCTATGAAGGAAGAAATTATTAGGAGAAATTTAAAACATGGGATACTGAAGATCAATGCATGCAAAATCAATGTCTCCAAGTCAAACAATATAAGTTAATCAAAAATATCCATGTCACAATTAGTAATGTTCTATAGAAGCAATATTCATGAAGAGACACCTTGTTATTCATTCAACATTTGTCCTGTGACATTAACCAGCTGCATAGTTCTGGGCAAATACTTATTAAAGTTCAAATTTCCTCATTTGTGAGAATTACATTCCTCTTTGATGTCAGCATGTCCTGGCTCTTGAGAAGTGCTCAATGACTGCTAGTTTTGGTTTTCATCTCTATGAGCCCACCATATCTTAGGTACCACATTGGGTTCTGAGAAATAAAATAGCTCATCATCTGGTAGGGGAGGTAGAGACAACAGCTGCCACAGCTCAGAATTGTCAGGGCTCAGATGGGGCATACAAAGAAAAAGGGCAGATCTGGATCTGAGAAATCAACAGACAAGTGAGTTTCAAGAAGTAGTGCTATAAAAACTTAAGAAATATTTTTGCTGTTTGATACAGTGAGTATAGGTTGAGAAATCTACCTAAGGAAATATTTTTCGAAATGTAAACAGCAAAAGTTTGAAAAAAAAACCCTAAGTCCCTAAAACTAGGATCTTGACTAAATACATTGTAGTCTAGCCATGTAGCCTCAAAATTGATTGTATCAGTCCTCTGTTATTACAGGAGCATTAACTGACAAAAAGATAGTCAAGACAAGTTGCTATCAGAAAGGGTATTATAAAGCAATATATACAAGTCCATCTCTTTTTTGTGTGTGGTACTGTGACTTGAACTCAGTGCCTACCACTTTGAGCCACTCCACCAGCCTTTTTCTGTGATGGATTTTTCGAGATAGGGTCTCGTGAACTATTTACTTGGGTTGGCTTCATACTGTGGTCCTCCTGATCTCTGCCTCTCTAGTAGCTAGGATTACTGGCATGAGCCACTTGCACCTGGCAACAACAATTCCATTTTTTAAAATTAAAAATGTCTATATATTGAAGGAAAAGTCTAAAAAAAGATATAAGCTGTCTCCCCGGTTACTAACAATGCTAAGAATATGATTTCAAAATTTGCATTTTAGCTTACTTGCATTTTAAATCTTTAAATCACACATAGTAAGGGGCTTCATTATGATACTTCCATACATGAATATAATGTACTTTGATCATAGTTACCCCTTTTATTACTGTATCTTCTCCCTCTTCCTTCTTCCATTTTTTCCTTCCCCTTCCACCTCCTTAGTATTTTCCATTTTCCTTTCATAACTTTAAAAGAATTTTTGTCTTTTATTTTTCCCAAGCATCCACAAATGACAGAAAACATGCAAAACTGTCTTTGGGACTGGCTTATTTCACTTAACATGATAATCTCCAGTTTCATCCATTTTCCAGCAAATGATACACTTTCTTTTTTCTTAATGGCTAAAACTCTACTGTGTATATATACCACATTTTCTTTATTCATTCATCCGTTGATGAGTGCTTAGATTGATTCCATAATTTGACTATTAGAATAGTGCCATGAAAGATGGGTCTTTAGGTGTCTATATAGTAAGCTGACTTTCTTTTGGGAATATACCCCAAAGTGGTATGGCTGGATCTTATGTCCAGTACTGTTTGTTTAATGAAAGTGTACAGACATGTGGTGCATATATTTTTAACAATTGTTATCTGGATGAACTGTTACCAATATGAAGTATTTTTTGTTCCTTCTTACAGGTTTGTAATCTGTTTTCAAATATGAGTATAGCTATTCCTACTTGCTTTCAGTTTTCATTTGCTTAGAATATCTTTTTTCTATCCTTTTACTTTTATACTATGCTTGTCTTTGACAGTGAGGTGCATTTCTCGAAGGCAAGTACTTGGATCTTTTTTTTTTTAAATTCAATCATTCAGTCTGTTTTTTAACTGGAGAAAAACCATTAACATTCAGAGTTATTATTAAAAGGTATGTAGTAAATCATGCCATTTTGTTGTTTTGTAATCTACTCTTTTGAGATATATTCTTTTCTGTATTGGTTATTGTTTATCTTCCTGGATGTTAGGTTTCCTTTAAGTATCTTTTGCATTGCTGGCTTAGTAGTCATTAAGTCCTTTAGTTTACTAGGGAAGGTTTTTATTTCTACTTCAACTATGAAGTACAGCTTTGCTGGATTCAGTAATCTAGGTTGGCAGTTATTTTCTTTCAGGGTTTGAAGTACATCATTGCATGCCCTCCTGGCTTTCAGAGTTTTTGCTGAGAAATCTGCTTTTATTTGGTGGGTTTGCCTTTATAGGTGACTTGGGGCTTATGTCTTTCAGCTTTCATTATTTTGTTTGTTCTGTATATCTAATGTTTTAACTATAACATTTGGGAAATTTTCTACTATAAATTTATTGACTATGTCCTCTATGTCTCTTTCCCTTCCCTCCGTCTTTTGATCCAGTCTATTTGTGAGGCTTTCAACTTAGGGTGTTTTTTTGTTTTTGTTTTTGTTTTGGCACTGGGGATTGAACCCAGGGCCTCATGCTTCAAGTGCTCTACTATTTGCACTATGCTCCAGGTCAGATCTTTTGTTTTTATCTTGTTTATTACACAGGGTCTCACTACCTTTGCATGGATTGGAATTGATCCTCCTGCCTCTGCCTCCTGAGGAGCTGGGATTACAGGTGTACACCATCACTTCTGGCTTCATTGATCATTGTTATAATTATTCTTTTGAATTCTACTTCACTATCACTGGAGTTCAATATTGTGGAACTGTTGACTTTTGGAGGAGTAATGTTGCAGTTTTTTATATTTCTTGTGTTTCTACATTGAGATTTATATTATCTGAGACCAAGCTGTTGGAGGTTTTAATTACCTGTGTTCTTACATTTGAAGTATTCTCAATGTTTATGGAAGGACTGGATTGTAGGGTCAAGGCATAGTTTTTCACCACTGGGCTGGGGGTGTAGCTCAGTAGCTAAACATTTGCCCATGTACTCAAGACACCAAGCCTGATTCCAAGCATCACTGAGAGAGAAGAAAA